CACACACACACACACACACACACACACACACACACCCACCCACCCATCTAAATCAGATATAGTGTCTTAATTTTACAGGCTAGAAGTTGTCAAGGCATATCTCCTTGTAAGGTCCTGAGGAAGCCTTTTTCCAGACATGTCTCCTAGCTTCTTCTAATTCTTTGGCTTGTGGTTTTATTCTGTGCACGTTTGTTGTCTGAAGGCATTGGTTATTTGCAGTGGAGCCCATCCTGATAACCACTTAAACTACAGTTTAAGCAGTAACAATCTGGTACCAGGTCTCGCTAGTTTTAAGGAAAAATCATCTGTTAGGCACATCTGTGGCCCTGTGTAGATCAGGATGCTTCCTGACTTGCTTATGATCAACATTGGATTGGCTTTTGGATGTGGATTTTATAATGATCTTCTCCTCATGATTAGTATTGCCCATTAAAGAAATATACTGCTCAGTCATTTGTAGAGAAAAGAAGAACAAACTATGGAAATTAGAAAATATTTTAGCAGAAAGAAGTGATAATATGACATATCAAACTGTGAGAGTCGGGGGCGGGAGTCAAGGGAAGCTTAGCAGTTAAGAGTTAGGACCAGTGTTTGCTTCACAGGACTCACATGGTGGCTTAGAATTATCTATAACCAAAGTTCTAGGGGATCCTGCACTGCTTCTGGATTCTTTGAATGCGTGGGATGCACATAGGTTGTATATACACATAAAAATAAATCTTTAAAAAAACATGAGATTCAGTTAAAGATACTTATAATAATTGATGGCTTTCTGTGCACACATTATGAAAGATGAAATTTAATTGAAAATTCGTGATTAAACTTGAACTGTAAGGAAAAAGATGGTACAGTGGTGAGTCTCCATTGTCACTTGAGATCTAGACTCACCTGAGGTATGGTGTCTTGGATATGCTGGTGTGTGGGTTATGGTGATTAGGTTAATGAGGTAATAAGACCCACTCACTGTGAGTCCCTCCCTTCCCTGGGCTGGGTCCTGGTCTCATGAAGAAAAAGTGAGGAGTGCACCAGAATCCATAGTTTTCTGACTGTGGATGCAATGTGACCAACCACATTCTCCACCTGCTGCCTTGAACCCCTCATGATGGGCTATACTGCTGAACTGTGTTTCAGAACAAACCCTTTCTCCCCAAGTTGATTGTGTCAAAGACTGACAAAATTAAACCCATCCAAAAAGTCAAAGAGACACTAGAGAAGAAACCAACAAAACTACATAGCAGATGCAAAACAGGATAAAAGTTCATTCTTTGGTAAACAGATTTGATAGGATTCTAACACAATTGACCAAAAAAGAGGGCATACTACAATATATGTATTTTTTACTCTGTTATATTTATTGAGATATAATTGTATCATGTAATTCATCTATAAAAATGTATAATTAGTGGGTTTTCAGTAGATTCAGAGTTGTGTAACTATCACCACAATGAATGTTAGAACATTTTTATTACCATTTAGTCATTTCCTGCTTTCTCCAAACCTCCAAATCAAGCCGGAAAAAATGGCCCAGTGGTCCAGCACCTGCACTTTCTGCTTTGGAAGGTGACTTGGGTTTGAATCCCAGCACCCATTTCCTTCATGTGCTTTTTCATGCTCCTGAAGCATGGATTCCCCCCATCCATTCTCTCTCTCTCTCTCTCTCTCTCTCTCTCTCTCTCTCTCTCTCTCTCCTCCTTTACTCCCTCCCTCCCTCCCAACAAGGTTTCTCTGTTAGTCATGACTGTCTTTTAACTCGCTCTGTAGACCAGGCTGGCCTCGAACTCATAAGAGATCTGCCTGCTTCTGCCTCTGCCTCCTGAGTGCTGGGATTAAAGGTGTGCACCACCACTGTTTAGCTGAAACTGCTTCTCTGAAATTTTAGCTCCTGTATAGAGAAAAACTAGCACCTTTTCCTCTTCATTTTCCTAGCAACTGATGTTCTGATGTGCACTGTGTCACCTTCAACTTTTATGTTATGTAAATCTAGTAAATACTAAAACTAAGACGTAGCAAGGATTGAGATTTTATTTATCATTGTTTTAAACTTATATGATCTAAACTGTTCACTGTAATTTTCAGTTAACTTGTAATTAAATGACTTTTGTCTCAATTATTAAAATCCTTTTCTTTCTTTTTGTTTAAAGATTCAAAATGGATAGTATAGAAGAACCCCAGAAAAAAGTCTTCAAGGCTCGAAAAACAATGAGAGTGAGTGACCGTCAGCAGCTCGAAGCTGTGTACAAGGTGAAGGAAGAGCTGCTGAAAACTGACTCGAAGCTCTTAAATGGGAACCATGAAAATGGAGATTTGGAGCCCACTTCCCCTTTGCAAAACAGAGATTGTCCTCAAGACAGAGAAGTGAATGGCATTGAGGGAATTGGTTTTGAGCCTGAAGAAAGTAAAACAGAGTTGAAAGAAACACCTTGTGTCCCCAGCGTTAGTGTAAAAAACAAGCAAGAAGAGGATTCAAACAGTGAATCTTTGTCTCCTAGTGTAACTTCTGAGCTTGCTTCTAAACCAGCCACTGAGCCAGCCTCTGGCACCCCAGCCTCTGGCACCCCAGCCTCTGGCACCCCAGCCTTTGTTACCCCAGCCTCTGGTGATCTGACCGCAGGAGAGCTGCCTGCTGGAGTGCCAGCCACTGGCGACTCTCCCTGTGTGGAGTCCCCCTCTAGTGATTCCTCCTCCCATGATCCCACCCATAGTGATCCCACCTCTGCAGATACTGCTTCTGAAGAACCTGCCTCTGCTGATCTTGCCTCTGGTGAAACACTGTCTGGTGAAGCACTGTCTGATGAAGCAGTTTCAAGTGAACCACTGCCTGGTGAACTGTTGTCTGATGGAGCAGTTTCAGGTGAAACAGTTTCGGATGAACCAGTTGCTGGTGTGGCGACATCTTGTGACCTGGCCTCTGGGGAAGCTTCTGATAATATTGTCCCCTCTGGTGACTTGCCTTCTGATACCCTGCCTTCTAGTGATGAGTCTTCTGGTGGTCCTGCCTGTAGCAGACTGGCTTCTGGTGAGATGATTGTGGAATCAGCCACTGATACCTTTAAGCCAAGTTCTGTGCCAGTTTGTGAACCAAGTCCTGAAACTGACAAGACAGAGCAGAGTAGCAATAACAATGATGATTGTTCAGAAAAAAATGAAGACGATGAAAACTTAGACCAAATTCAAAGTAAAGACTCATTTGATGAGGAGGAGAAAACTAACGGTAATGTTGGTGAGAAGGAAGAAAGTCTAGACACACATAGTGCAATTATTTGTTCTGATCTACCTCCAGAAAATACGAAGAAGGTAGAGGAAGAGCCCACTGCTGAGCTTGCTCTTGGAGAAGAAGCCATCTCCAGCAGTATGGAAGTTGACCAAAGTGAAAAGGATGAGCACAAAAGTCCTACAGAACTTGTAGAAGCTGTCAGCAACAATGCCACAGAAGACAAGAAGGAGACTGTTTTAGACAACACGGACTCCATGGAAACAGATGAGATCATTCCTATTCTGGAAAAACTTGCACCCGCGGAAGAGGAGGAACTTACTTGCTTTTCAAAGACTTCCCTACTTCCGGTTGAGACAAGTCAAGATTTGGAAGAGAAAATGGAGGGTTCTTTTGGCTCTCCATCAAAACAAGAAAGTAGTGAGAATTTGCCAAAAGAAGCCTTTTTGGTCCTCTCTGATGAAGAGGATATTTCATGTGGAAAAGATGAGTCTGAAGTTATATCACAAGATAAGACGAGCTCTCCAGGTTAGCTGATTATGGATTTTATTTACTTTAATGAACTGTTTAATAGAACCTGCTCACTTAATGTTGGTATTAGTGGTCCTTGGATGACATATTATAGAAATGCAGCTAGGTGTGATGGCAAAAGGGGAGAAGAGGGAGGAATAAGGAGTTCAAGGTATGTGTGTGTAGGTGAGCATGTGTGTATGTGAGCATGTATGTGTATGTGAGCATGTGTGTGTAGGTGAGCATGTGTGTAGGTGAGCATGTGTGTAGGTGAGCGTGTGTGTAGGTGAGCGTGTGTGTAGGTGAGCATGTGTGTAGGTGAGCATGTGTGTAAACAGCTACAGAGACAGAAGCAAGTGCTGAATCTCCAGAGCTGGTAGTTGTGACCTACCATGTGGGTGCTGGAAACCTAGCTTTGGTCCTCTGCAAGAGTAGCAAATGAAAATTCAGCATTAAGCCATCCATCATCTCTCTAGCCCCAAGGAAACCTCTTTCAACACAAAATAATCATCCAAGATCCTTGTATAAAAAGAACTTATGTAAAACTGTATCATTTCCGGCAGGGTCAGCGATGTCTAAGCCCATCCATCCAAACACAAAGCTTCCTAGCTCTGCTGTACTTAAAGAACCTACCCTTATGTGTGGCAAGCCTGGTCTGACACCTTTGTGCTTCTCAAGTACAGCCTTCTCATTAAGTTGCTAAGTTTTCACAGTTCTAGCTTCCATGAACTTGGCTCTAGTCTGTCAACACGGAGAGTAAGATCACTAAAAGATAGGTAACCAGATCTTAGAGTTCTGGTAACCTCAAAACTTTTGAGAAAGAACTCAAATAAGGCACTTACTATCTTCCTGACAGATACTACCTTTAATGACCAGAGAATATATAGTCTGACACAGACACTTACTGCTGCCCTGTTCAGAGAGAACTGTTGCCTGCAACATTTAAATAACAGGCTTGCCTTGGTCCCAGCTACATGGTAAAAAGCTCAGAAGGGCCACAGGCCACAGTCTGCCAACCAGTCTTGCTTTGGATTGAATCTGTAAGGATATTTAAAGCAAAACAAAGTCCTACAGGCTACTTGAAATAATATACCCAATAGGGGGGGGGGGAGAACCCAGAAAGTAACAGGTAATTCATATGTAAGCAATACAAAAGGCCAATAAACATAGAGATTTTCAGTCTTACAAAATACACCAGGATAATGTAGCCTGCAGAAAATCTAACTTCTCCAGATATTTTCAAAGCTTGAGAGCAATACAAAGGTACAAATACTATCTTCCACATCATTGGTTCTCAACCTCAGGGTTTTGACCCCTTGGGGGCTAAAGACCCTTTCACAGGGTTCGCCTAAGATCATCAGAAAACACAGATATTTATATTATGATTCATAACAGTAGCAAAATTGCAGCTATGAAGTAACAATGAAAATAATGTCATGGTTGAGGGTCACCACAGCATGAGGAAGGTTGAGAACACTGTTCTACCTGATGTTTGAGAAGAGCCAGGATGGAGTCTAGCAAGGTGGAAATCCAAATTCAAGTAAGGTGAAGCCTTAATAGGAGAAGAAACAAGGTGCTAGCTTTGTAAATGTGGCTGGAAATCCAGTTCTGAAAGTGAGGAAAGAGATGGGATATCAGCTAAAAAAAATGTATATGATGAGGATGCTCACTGAAGTAAGCCAGGAAGTAGACAGGTAAGACAATAAGGTGAGATGTGTCTGAACTTTCCCAGAAGAAGGGGTTAATACTACTCTAGTCTCCTTAGAGTGTGACTCCAGTCACTGAGAAAGTGTCACTTAGCAACATGCAACAGCTTGTCTCCAGATGTACTAGGACACATTAGCTCTTCAATTTTTAATAAAAGTAGTATTTTTTCTACTTGTTTTATTAATAGTTTGAGATATGGTCTCATGTAGCCTAGGATAACCTCAAACTACTTATGTAGCAAAGGGTACATAAATCTCTAAATCTTCCCAAAGGGCAGTTTGCTCAATCCCTAGAACATTTGAACAGAAAGTTGAAGAATATGGACCCTACTTCCTAGTAAGAATCTGTTGACATTTTTTCCTAGCAGAGTTCCTTCTATGACACAGTGGCACACACTCCAATCCTTGTGATCTATACTAAAACTCAATGCATGTCTGGAGTGCCACGTGTCTAGTAGGTAGATCTGAAAAGTAGTCATTCAGCATAGGAGATAGTTGAGTTGTGTAGAATTTACAAGTACATTCAGTATGTCACCATTATTTAATAGTGTTAACTACTGCATTTGTTATTACAAGTTGGTGGGTGAGTGTGTGTAAGTCAGAGGATAACATGGGAGTCAGTTCTCTCCTTCAACCATGTCAGACCTGGCAATTTGTTGTCAGGCTCACTAGCATGTGCTTTTACCCTCTAAGCCACCTTGCAGGCTCTGGCTTAGTGTTAATAATTGAAAGTAAAGAGGTCTGAATCCTTTATAATAGTTGTTACTGGTGACAGAAAATTAAGTAAAATTGTTGGCTTTAAAATCTATTATTTTTCATGTGGAGCTTATTAGGAATAATTTAAATGTGAGCTTGGTCTTTTCCGTTTGTGCTCTCGTATTCTCCTTTATTTTGCAAAATGTTTGTTTGGTGTTTGAATGGTTACCAAAAATGTGAATAATTAGTTGCTACTAATTCTACAGAAATAAATGAAGTTCCCTTCTCTACATTTGTCCTTACAGAAGTAGAAAGGACTGAAAAGGACAGCAAAGCTGAGGAAGAGGAGCGAGTGCCAGATGAGGAGCGGCCACCTGTGAGAAGTAAGCATATCCTGGCTCCTGACCTGCCTCATAGTGTGGCCTTGGCCCTCTGTGATCGGCTGCCATTTCTGCCCGACCTTTTTTAAGTGTTACCACAATTCACTGATCTTGTTGATGACCAGTTCAAGGGCCTTTGAATGTATTATTTTGTGTGTTTCAAAGTGTTTATAGTAATGGTTTCACAGGGAGGATTAGACTTACACTTGAAGGTACCAAGTAAGTGTATTAAACTGTTTTTAAGTTTAGGGCAGGAGGATTTATCTTGCTCTTGAGAGGTGACAGGTAGGTTCATAGTAAAGGAATGCTGGAACTGATGCCGTAGACTTAGCAAAGGGTTAGTCAGCCAGGGCTTTGTGTTGGTTTATTGTGTCTATAGCAAAAAGTTGTAAAATAGAAGTGCATTAAATAATTGCATAGATAGATGTGGTTGTATTTCTTTATCCACTACTATGATAAAACTGAATGAATAGCATATTTTGAGCTCCTCTTTACCCCTCATCTGGAACATTATTTTACAGATCAAAGACAATCGATGTGGCCATAAAAGGCGTGGAATATTAGTGTTTTAATTTTTTTGTTTTTCGAGACAGGGTTTCACTGTTTAGCCTTGGCTGTCCTAGAACTTGCTTTGTAGATCATGCTGGCCTCAAACTCACAGAGATCGCCTGCTTCTGCCTCCTGAGTCCTGGGATTCAATGTGTGTGACACTACCTCATGGCAGTGTTTTAATATTTGAAATGCTGAAAAACCAGTTAAATTTTTCTCAACGATTTCATGAATGTTAACATTTGAAATAGTTTTTTAAGTGAAGTGTTTGAATGTCTATTCTGTGCCAATTGTACTTTTGTGGCATTAATTTTACTATCTGTGTGTATCTGAGCTCTTAGGACATGTTTAGAGTATCTGTTAGAGTCACTGCTCAGGGCTGAATAACTGAATGACTCAGTCAGTATGACTGCCATGCACCTGTTTTCACAGAGAAAGAATTAAATAATTCAGAATATACAAAGATAATAGAAGTCTGTGACATAGGATGGCCATTATATGTTATTAAAGCATTTATATGTGCTATGAAATTGAGCAGAGGGAAGATTATGGGAGGTTCCAGTTATCTGTAAGCCATCTCTCTCTGAACATGAGCATTTCAAGGAAAGAATGCTCCATGTTTTCAGTGTGCATTGCTGAGCAGTTGGGAGAGTTCTCCTGGCATGCTGAACATGATCTCAGCTTTAAAGCCGGGCTTCATATACCTGCTGGGACTCTTAAGAACAGTCATGCAGTGACTGACTGACTGACACTGTGCTGGTGAGTCTTGTAGCTATAACAGTAGACTGATCGTTGCGGGGGTTTTGTTGTTGTTATTCTCAGATGAATTTTCCAGACGGAAACGTTCTAAATCAGAAGACATGGACAATGTGCAGTCCAAACGTCGGCGCTATATCGAGGAAGAATACGAGGCAGAGTTTCAAGTCAAGATTACAGCCAAAGGAGACATTAACCGGAAGCTTCAGAAGGTGCTGCACATAGCATTTCAGTGTCCCGAGTGTCACTGTGTGTATGCATCACGATTTCTAGCATGATCCCATTCTTCCGTGTTTATGTATCCAGTCAGAACTTAACTAGTCAGAATTTGAAGACAATGACAAGCTATGAAATCTGTGATTATTTTTGTTAACATCACTTTAAAATGACTCTGTTTGGCTATGATTTTTTATTTTAAAAGATGGTAGTGGTTATTGAAAGGGAAATAAGATATTTCCCTATTTGTTATTATAGTAAAACTGAATAGTTTTTGAGCTTTTCTCTTTTTTCCTGTATTGAATATTACCTTACATTCTAAAACCCTTTTTATGTTAATATAAAGCATGAGAGATGAAGCTTTGGATGCACTAGGAAAAGGGAATGTTCAGAGTAAAGATTTTTCTAAAATTTCCCTCTATATCTGTTATGCTAGCATACAAATATTGAAAATTAATGTTACATGTGTTTGCAAAATGTGACAAAGGGAAGACCTCTCAGAGGGTAAATACTGTGTGAGCACAAGAACCTGAGTTCTCATCTGCCACACTTATGAAAAGCCAAGCAGTGGTGTACACTGGGAAGCTGAGGCAAGAGACCCCTAGGCTTCAATGACCAGCCAGTCTAGGTAGTTGGTGAACTCCAGCTCAACCAGTGTGAGACCCTGTCTCAAAACAAGGTGCAGAGTGACCATAGAAAACACCTGATGTTATTAACCTCTGGAATCCATGGACACATATACCTGCACTTGCATGTACACCACACATATCCACATCAACATGTGTTCAAAATACTTTAAACTCAGGTGTCTGTCGTGCCCCCCCCCCCAAGAGTCAGTAGTTTGTTTGCTCGTTTATTTATTTATTTATTTATTTATTTATTTATTTATTTTTGGTTTTTCGAGACAGGGTTTCTCTGTGTAGCTTTGGAGCCTATCCTGGCACTCGCACTCGCTCTGGAGATCAGGCTGGCCTCGAACTCACAGAGATCCACCTGCCTCTGCCTCCTGAGTGCTGGGATTAAAGGCGTGTGCCACCAACGACCGGCTCGAGTCAGTAGTTTATAATAGCTTAGGTTGTAGCCCAGGTTGACTTTAGTCTTGACAGTGTCCTCGTGCTTCAACTTTCAGGGGATGTGATTACAGGTGTGAGTCACCAAGTCTGGTTTTGTCTTTCAGGGTCTTAGTATTTAGCCAAGAATTAATAAACCAAAGTTCTTCCACTAAGTTACAAGAATAAATAGTACAAATATCTGTGCTTTCTTTAGAAAGAACAGATTTAAAAAATAGTAAAGCAATAAAAATGCTGTTCCTGCCTAGTTCCTTTTTTGTGTGCATGCTGAGGTAATAGTACACATGGTGTTGTTAGAATCAGGAGGGTTAGGGACACCCATGGGTGGGCTCCCATCTCTAGAACAGATTCCTCAGGGATAGTTCATAGATAGGTCAGTGTCCTGCTTGTTGTGGTTCAGATGAAGCAACAGTTGAATTTTGGATAAACATTTAGAAATATTTTATTGCTTTCGATACTCCAGTGACATTTTTACTGCATCTCACAAAATTGCCAGTCTTTAATTCATGAAAAAATTTTTGAAGCTGTTCTTTTTAACAAATTTTGTTAAAGTGGGCTCAGCATAATAAGGTGGCTAAGGAGAAAGATATGCTTCACATTATTCTCAGAATTCCACTCTGGAAATATAACCCTTTACATGGGCTTCCGGTTTGAGGTAGTGGTGAATGGCAGTAGATAGCATTGAGTTTGAAATTCTATTCTTTAAATTAGTTAGCTTTGTTTTATTCATTAATGAAGTTTATATTAATGTTATTCTTAATATTTACTGGTTTTGTTTGCTGAATTGCCCCTTTTGTAACATTGTAACAAAGGAATGTTTTTTTTCTCCCTTTTTAGGTCATACAGTGGTTACTAGAAGAGAAGTTGTGTGCTCTACAGTGTGCTGTGTTTGATAAGACTTTGGCAGAATTGAAAACACGAGTGGAAAAGATAGAATGCAACAAAAGACACAAAGCAGTTCTCACCGAACTACAGGTGTGTGCACTGACACTAACTTTATACTCTGTGCGTAATGCATTGTCTGATTATATATTATCATTTTCATGTATTTGAAGTTGACTACAAAATACATTTACATTCTATATAAGAAGAGAAAGGGGCCTTATTAGTTCTTGCTGGAGCTGCTGTAAAGACAGAACCATACATAGCTGGATGCTTGGCCAACTGAAATGTATTATTTCACAGTTGGAGACTGGAAACTCAAGATGAGGGTGCCAGCAGCAGGTGGATTTCTCTGAGCTGTAGCATTGTGAGGAAGAGTATACACCATGTCTCTTCTCTTAGATGATTGCTGACAGCTCTGAGGAGGCCTCATTTCCATGGGTGGCTTTGCCTTCATATGGCATTTTCTCTGTGTATTTTGTATTCAAATTTCTCTGTATTTGAAGGGACCAGTTATATAAGTTAGATTAGGAGGGAACCACCCAGTCCAATAGACTCCATATTAATTGATTATTTTTGCAGTGACCCTTATAAACTGCTGTTGTAGACTTTATGAGCTTTGGCGTAATTTAACTCACATGAGAGACTCAGAAATTATCTAAATAGGTACTTAAAAGAAGTTTGTTACTGAAGAAAGGTTGGTATACAGCATACCATAGATACAAAATAGTATTTGTGAAAGATTATTTTTGTGTCTGTCTGCTTTCTCTGTGGATATTATGATGGTGTTAGTTTATAGTGTTGGAGTGCTGACTCCCGGTGGTTAAGAGCACTGGCTGCTCTTGCAGAGGACCCAGGTTCAGTTCTCAGCACCACACACTGACTCAACCATCTACAACTCCTGTGGGGATCTAATGCCTTTTCACTGGCCTCCTTGGGCACAAGACACACACATGGTGTATGCACGTACATGCTGGTGGAAACATTTATACACATAATTTTAAAAAAAGATTTTAGTTTACTAATGCATGTATAGTTGAGGATAATCTAGGACTTCTGTATAAGCATACACCACCACATCTGGTTTTTGTGGTGTTAGGGGTTTGACCCAGGGCCTTGTTCCTGCTAGGCAAACACTACCAACTGAGCTCTCACTCCCCACTCCCTGCTCAAATGTTTCTTTATTCAATCAATTCCTCAAACAAACTGTATAGAATATTCCCTAATAATTCTGCAAGGAGAATGAAAAGGATGTATAATGGTTGATCTTTTTATTAGCATAATGAACTTCTTTATTCTAAATTTGGCTTAAGTTCTGCTTCATCAAATAACATATGTATGCAGCTGCTCCAGCTCGATTTCAGTTATCATTTGCTTGGAATATCATTTTCTATCCTTTCACATTAATTCTATATCTTTGTCAGTGTGATGTGTTTCTTGCAGGCAGTAATCAGTTGGATTTTTTTTTTTCTCCTGTTTTAATCTAATCAGCCTGTCTGCATCTTTGAACTGGAGAGTGAAGATGATTTACATTTATTACTAAGAATTATATCCTCATTCCTGGAATTCTGTCTTATACCATGGTCCCAGCTCCTAAGATGATTTGAATACTTTATTTTTTTCTTTCTCTCTTACTCATCTAAGACGTTTGCTAAGTCACTATATTGAATTTGTTTTATTATTTTCTAATTATGTTTGTTCAAACATTCTCATGGAACTCATTTTTTTCTAAGCTTTTGTGATTGTGACTTTCTTTGTGTATGTAGGATTTTCTTAAATTTTAAATTTTTATTTAAGTAGTCATGGTTTGATTTAGTGTTTATTCATCTTAGAATGCCTCTGCTCCATTAGAATTTAGAGGATAACTTTTCTGCATATTGTAACCTTTTTAGTAGTAATTTACCTGAAATATGTCATTCCATGTTTTCTTGGCCCTTTTTTTTTTTTTAAAGCAAATTTTATTTATTTATTGTGTATACATTGTTCCTCCCTGCACACCGGAAGAGGGCACCAGATCCCATCACAGATGGTTGTGAGTCACCATGTGGTGCTGGACTTGAACTCAGGATCTCTGGAAGAGCAGCCAGTGCTCTTAACCTCTGAGCACGCTTTCTTGGCTTTTAGGTTTTATACTGTAATAAAATTGTAGTGAATTTGCCTTTGTAAGATGGCCCTTCACTTTTGTAGCTATCTGCATTCTTTGTTGAGTACTCTTGATAATTTAACTATAATGTGACATGAGTTTCTTTCTAGTCATATCTGTTTAGGTTTCTAAATACCTTCCATACTTAAACATCTGTCTTTTTTTCCAAATCAGGGTAATTTTCTGCTATAATATGATTGAATAGATTTTCTGTGCTTTTAGTTTGCATCTCAGCTCCTTCTTACCTCAGGGATTAAGTTTGGTCTCTTGATCAGAGTTCCTGAAAGTTGTGGTGATGGTTCATTATTCTTGTTATTTTTCTTTATTGCTGAATGAATATAAGATTTCCTTACCTTGGTTTCAATGCCTGGTATTCTTTCTTTTGATTGATGTCTTTGAATGATGGATCCCACTGAGCTTTAAAAATTTTTATTGACCTTTTTGTTTCTAATGTTTCCATGAACTATATGTTATTTTGAGAATCTGTTAAATTTGAATTTGCTATCTAAGTATCAAATTTGCTTTGCTTCATTTAACTTAATTTTGTTTTCATTGAGGTGATTTTTCTTTTTAAAATTAGATTTTTTAATTGTTTGGCATTTCAATCATTTTGTTATCCTTGGATTCAGTTATTTAAGGGTCATTAACTTTCGGAGGACTCTTCACATGTCACATTTTAATGTATGTGTCTGTTGATTGATACTTCTGGTTTCATGTTTTAGCTGACTGCTTTCCCTTGAGGTTTCAGTCTCTCCTGAGAAGAGAGTATATATACCACAGTAACAATTGCTCTTTAAAAAAAGAAAAGTCCATGTTTAAATTTTTATTACTTTTATTTATTTATTTATTTAGTGTGTGTGTGTGTGTGTGTGTGTGAGAGTGTGTGTGTGTGTGTGTGTGTGTATGTATGTATGTGTGTGTGTGAGTGTGTGTGAGTGTGTGTGTGTGTGTGTGTGTATGTATGTATGTGTGTGTGTGAGTGTGTGTGAGTGTGTGTGTGTGTGTGTGTGTATGTATGTATGTGTGTGTGTGAGTGTGTGTGAGTGTGTGTGTGTGTGTGTGTGTATGTATGTATGTGTGTGTGTGTGTGTGTGTGTGTATGTGTGTGTGTGAGTGTATGTGTGTGTGTTTGTGTGTGTGTGTGTGTATGTGTGTGTGTCTGTGTGTGTGCATGTATGTATGTGTGTGTGTGAGTGAGTGTGAGTGTGTGTGTGTGTGTGTGTGTACATACATGGTGCACATATGGAATCAGGGCAGCTTGCAGAAGACTCTCTGTTGTGTGGGTCTGGGGGATGCAAATGCTGAGCCACTTGCACAACAACATCCTTAAATGTAGTAAAATAACAACAGGGGAGATAACATCTGCTCTCAAAACCCAGGACACATCTGATAAACTCAGGACTTTAAAATTAAGTCATAGTTAATTAGAACTAGAAAAGGGAATAGGGAAAGGACAGAACAGGAGAAGCAAATCAGGAAAGACAGGAAAAGTATGATGTGAAGGTATGAGAAACTTCAGTGAGTGGTAAATGCACATCCACGCATGCATGCGCCCAGAATTCCACTGGGTGAATGACCAACCCTAAATAAGTATTCTGAAAAAACAAAGCTATCAAGCCATCAATTACAGCCTTACATGACTGTAGCAGGGCACTGGGAAACATTCACCTTATTCAGTAGGAAAAACAATTATATAATCAGCCCCTAGTACAGCAGTTCTCAACCTGTGGGCCACGACCCTGTTGGGGGTCACATATAATATGCTGCCATATCAGGCATTTACATTACAGTTCATAACAGTAGCATAAATTCCAGTTATGAAGTAGCAATGAAATAAAATAATTCTATGGCTGCGGGGTGGGGGTGTCACCACAACATGAGGAACTGTATTTTTTTTTTTTAAGATTTAAGTGTTCTGCCTGTATGTCTCCCTGCCCGCCATAAGAGGGCACCAGATCCATGAGGACTAAAGGCTTGCAGCGTTGGAAAGGTTGAGAAACCATCTCTCTTGTAGAAAAGTTCACGTTCAAATCAGTCAGTACAGTACTTAGATATCCAAATAGTTTTGTCAAGGGATCTCTTAGGACTTGCATGTATGCCTACATACCTGTATCTTTCAATAAGAAAGCGAAGTGTGATTACAACCATTTTGAAAAATAACTGTAAATAAAACCATACATATTCCAAAATATTCTCCTGCAAGTAAACACGCCTAGTTGTTGGTAAGGGCAAGCTGGTCTATTAGTACTTACACCTGGCAATTATTTCAGAAGCCACAGTGGGTTTCCTATGAGTGTTGGTTCCAAGTATGTATTTTATAGTCAGCTTGTCAGACTTTGTTTTGAAGAGCCTGTCATCTTTAGATTTCTCTCTTGTGTATAGCAGACTTTTAAGGAGTTACACCACTTGACTTTTGTTTGTTTTCTAGGCCAAAATAGCCAGATTAACCAAACGTTTTGGAGCAGCCAAAGACGATCTTAAGAAAAGACAAGAAGTAAGCATTGCTGTTCTAGCTGTGTTCGTTGCCTTAGTGTTCTATTGCTGTGAAGAGATTCCATGACCATGGCAGCTCTTACAATGGAAAACCAATTGGGCCTGGCCTACAGTTTCAGAGGTTTAGTCTGTTATTGTCATGGTGGGCAACACGGTGGCACATTGGCAGACATGGTGCTGGTGAGTTCTACATTCTGATGGGCAGGCAGCAGGAAGAGAGAGTGACACTGGGCCTGGCTTGAGCTTTTTAAAACCTCAAAGTCTGCCCTCAGCAATACACTTCTTCCTACAAGGTCACTTCTCTTAATAGTGCCACTTCCTGGTGCCCAAGCATTCAAATATTTGAGCCTGTGGGGGACATTCTTATTGAAATTACCACACTCCATTCCTTGGCCCCCATAGGCTTCTGGCCATATCATAATGCAATACATTGAGTCCAAAAGTCCCCATAGTCTATAATAGCCCCAATACTGTTTAAATATCCAAAGTTCAAAGTCTCTTCTAAAACTCAAGGCAGTCTCTTAAGTGTAAAATTAAAGTAAAAAACCAGATCACATACTTAGCAATGGCACAGGATATATATTACCATTCCAAAAGGGAGGAAAGGGAGTATAGTGAGGAAACACTGGGCCAAAGCAAGACTGAAAACCAGTGGGACAAACTCCAAACTGTGCATCTCCATGTCTGATGTCAAAGCACTCTTCAGATCTCCAGCTCCTTTCAGCTCTGTTGACTGCAACACACTTCTCTCTCTTGGGCTGGTTTCACTTCCTGTTAGCAGCTGTCCTTGGCAGGTATCCCAGAACTCTGGCATCTCCAGTACCTTGGGGTCTCCAAGGCAATCTAGCCTTCACCTTCACCGCTTCATGCAGTGTCTTCTCTGGGCCTGTATGCATGGAGGGACACCCGTGCCACATGCCTGGCTTCCATGGCTTTCCTTAGCTGCAGAGGGAGATTGCACAACCTCTTTCTTATATCCTTGACTCTAAAGCCAGAATAACCATGTGGTCGAAACTGCCAGGTTCTGCTGGTTGCTGGGGCTGGAACACGGCCCCCTCTTTCAGTAACATCTTCACCATCTTTCTTGTTTTGATTGTTTCTTTCACTGCCTAAGAGCTGGGCTATTCTGGAATTTACTCTGTAGACAAGGCTGGCATCTTGACAGTATGGGAAAAATTGAGGTTTATGAAGAAAAACTTCCACAAGAAAATAGGAAAAGACAAAAGTAGTGATGTCTGACCCTGCAGTGCTTTTCTATTGTATTGGTTAGATAAGGGATCAAATACTGAGAAAGTACTTAAACATTGTTTTTTTTAAAAAATAGTTCCTGTATATTGATTTTGTGTTTTACTTTGGTATTTCCCCCCTCTTTAGAGCCCTCCAAACCCACCTACATCACCAGGAAAGCCTGCCAGTGATGCCAGCAGCAATAACAATGTGACCTATAGGTAAGAACTGTGGTCCGTTCATCGCGCTTAAGGTTAGTTAGGCAAGGTTAGTCTTGGCATGTAACTGTAAATGCCTGTGCATCCGTGAATGAGTAATGTCATAGTTGCTTTTCTCCTTCTTCTTTATATTACTATGTATTGTTTTTGTTAATTATTGCAGTGTTTTCTTTTGTTATGACTTTCTTTTTGCTTTTGCAGTGTTGAGGACTAAATTTAGGGGCCACCCCTCCCCTAAACTCTACATATTTAAGATCATGTCATTAAAAGTTTTTAGCAATTGAAAACTGCTTTGGTCAGTGATAAGAGTGTGCTTTCAGCTATATTCAGTCTTTAGGTAACTGATGACAGTAGCGTATGGATAGGGACTCTTCTGCAGTGTTCTCTGACATGGCAGTCTGTGTACCAACACTGTGACTTCAGGCATTGGATGCAAGTCCCAGATCTTACCCTTTCCCACCAGGGGCCACTGTTTTTCCTGTGCTTTGGTGGGTTCCCCTAGGATGCCATAGCCATTGACTGTACATGTATCTGTTTCATAGAAATGCAGGCACAGTACGGCAGATGCTGGAGTCCAAAAGAAATGTTAGCGAGGGTCCACCACCATCCTTTCAAACTCCTGTGAATACAGGTAACTTGTTTTTTTAATACCAAAAATACATTTTCTTGGGACGTAGTATCTTTGATTCTCTTATGTTTTTTTTGTGGTTGGAAATGGGTTAGAAAACAGCACACTTTGGTATAAATAGGAATACATTTAAAAACAATTTTGAATTGTAAACAAGTATGCGTGAAAAGATAGACATTGAAATTCCTAGTGTAGTACTTCTCAAACTTTTATCTCTAGGGCCCTTTACAGTCTCATGAAGTTACTAAGAACTCAAGAGAGTTTTTGAGTTAAACTAATTGGTGCTATCAATTGAATGAAAATAAAACTTTAAGGATTTTTGTTCACTTAAAATTATTAATAAGCCCAGAGGCAGGCGAATCTCTGAGTTTGAGGCTAGCCTGATCTACATAGTGAGCTCTGAGACAGCCAGGGCTACATAGTAAGCCCTTGTCTTGAGTAAACAAAACCACACAGAAATAAATTATAATAATCTTGCAATATGCACACAAAGAAACTTTTTAAAAATAGAAAATAACTGTATTTTTAAAAAATAATCAGTGAAAGGGCAGAGATCTGAGTTTGGTTTCCAGAACCCTTAATAAATAAACAAAGGCAGCCGTCACACTTGACTGTCCCAGTGCTAGAGAGGAGCAGGCTCTGGGCAGCCAGCCTACATAGTGAGCTGCAGGCCAGTAAAGACCCTGTCCCAACAAAGGAACAAAAGGGAGATGAAGAGTGGCTGCCACCAAGTTGTTGAAGACTGTGTGTGAAGGTGCCAGTGACTAAATAGAAAATACTGAAAGAGAAAGGTCAATGGCACCAAGGGAATGACACTTGAGCTGTCCTCTGACCTCTACCATGTCCATGTACACACATGGGCATATGTGGGCATGTATAAATACCGGTGAAAACTGGGATATGTTGCCTTTTACATATTTCTTTAAAATCTTGGTAAAAATGTTAAACTGCTAAAGCTGGTTGGATTCTTGTGTGTGTAGCTGCTTTCAATGTCTTTCAGTCTGCTGACTTCATATATGAAAGGAATGCAGCCCCATCTGGACAGATGGAAACAGGCTGGATAGCTGAGGCTAGCTAGTGCAGAGCAGATTCAGAAACCATGTGCTTTTCTCATTGTTTTTGTAAGTCACTCTTTCAGGAAAGTAGGTCCTGCTAGGCATTGTAAGTACAGGCCTGTTATTCCAGAACTCATCAGGCTATGGCAGGCAGATGGTAAGTTCAAGGCCAGCCTGTGATTTTACTTGGGGATGGGACATAATAAAAACTTTAGTTCTTATTACTTCTTTGTGGACATTTTAAAGTGGAATTGACTGTTTTAAATACTATGATAAGCATTTGTTAGGGAAGAGGTTAGTGTGACAGGATTATTTGGTAACTCTGTATCATCTTGGATTTTGTAGTTTTCTCCTTACCATAGCTTCTTTTTCCATTATCCGTTACCATGGCCTATAGACATTACATGGCACATTCCACTAATAATTCATATCTTTTATTGTGATAACATTTTATTATTATTTTTTTACTATGCTTAATTTCCAAGTTAGTGTACAGTTTCTAATTATGGTCATGATGTTTCAGTGAGTTGTGAATGCATTTGAAACAGTTGTCTGGTGAGATCATATGGAGTTGAGAAATTCTTGTCAGCTGCTGAGGCCTTAGCCAGCTGTTTTACTATTGTAAATAGTTACTCCACATGTTACTCCTGAGTGTGTTATGTTCATGTGAGCAGAGCTGTAACTTTGTGAGCTATACAGACTGTAGCAAATAGAATTGTGTAGGGTACTGAATGACAACTTTACTGCTTTATTAGTATTACCAATAGTTTACTGTGAACTGATAATGCCATTTATGCTTGTAGTGGCTGCAAATATTTCATTGAGTGATTGGTATATCCCAGCTGGATTTGTACACTCTTGTGATTGATCATACAGCATTGGAATTATGTAATGACACATTTCTTAAAACATACCCATGTTGTTAAGGGTTACATGGCTGCATAGGAAAAGACATGGTGTGTGTAAAGTTCCCTGTTCTGTCTTATGCATCACTGGGAGTTTTAGGATATGATGTCCACAGATAAGGACCTGCTGAACTAAGCCAGTAGGCATTCACCTTTTGTCTACATAGTGCAAAAGTCAAATGTCTCATTACTATTATGAAAATAGCTTTGAAATTGTAAGGTCCATGCTAGGTTCTCAGGAAACTAGTGGTAGCCCTCTGCACTCACTGAGAATTACTGCTCTGCTGTACCCATGGTTTTGGAAAGACTAGATATCTGAGTAGTCAGTTAAGTTATATTTTAAAGCTGTTCCAATGAGACTAAACCTCAGTAGTTGAGTCATAAGCAACTGTAAATCTCTGGTCTGCGCTTACTCTTTTACCTCTTTGGTTTGTTCCATTTCTTAATTCATCTCTTAGTGCTTTCCTCTGTGTCAGTAGTGTTTGCATAGTCTCCTCTAAGGGATCCTTCTCCCATGGTGAGTTCTTTCCCTAGAAACTCAGTAATTTCAGCCATCAGCTTCACTCACTGTGGCCATGGCTTTCCAGATTCCCTACCTGAGCTGGGTAGTGTTGATGTTTAAAGCATTTACACTGTTTAGAATGAGGGTTAAACATACCTGCATAGTTTTACTTAGTTTTCAGTATTTTTTAGTTGCTTTTCCAGTTAGTTCCTCTGAAGTGAATGTTGTAATTTTCAAGAGATGTTTTGATATTGAGATAGCAATCTTGTGTATTAACATTAAATCATGTGGCATTTTAATAAAGAAATTAAGTGTACATGCAGAATCGCCTCTAAACATTTCAGTGTTTTCTAACTTAAACCTGGAAATTATTTTGTGATGGTTTTTCTGTATACAATAGATAGTTAATTTGTGACTTACTTTTTGCTGATAAATTAAGGTAGCAATCTAGACTGAGACTTGTGTTTTTTTCTGTAGTGTCTTCAGCCAGTCTTGTCCCTCCTCCAGCAGTCGTCAGTAGTCAGCCTAAGCTGCAGCCTTCAGCAAGCTCGGGTTCTCTGCCGGCAGCCTCTCTTCTTCCCGCTCCCAGCACAGCCACAGTAGTTGCCACTACTCAGGTGCCTAGTGGAAATCCTCAGCCTACAATCTCCCTGCAGCCCCTGCCAGTGATTCTGCATGTCCCCGTTGCCGTGACCTCTCAGCCTCAGCTCCTACAAAGCCATCCAGGGACTATCGTGACGAATCAACCGTCTGGCAGCGTTGAATTCATATCTGTGCAAAGCCCACCGACAGTGAGTGGGCTTACCAAAAATCCAATATCCTTGCCACCCTTGCCAAACCCCACTAAACCAAACATTCCATCAGTGCCCAGTCCTAGTATTCAGAGGAACTCTTCTGCCACTGCTGCACCCTTGGGGACAACGCTGGCTGTACAGGCCGTCCCGACTGCACATTCTATTGTGCAGGCCACAAGGACTTCTTTACCCCCGGTAGGCCCATCAGGACTGTATAGCTCATCAAACAATCCCCGAGGCCCAATACAGATGAAAATCCCAGTATCTGCTTTTAGCACTTCATCTTCTGCAGAACAAAATAGCTCTGCCACCCCAAGAACTGGTAAGTTGGTTTGCTTAGTAACAGAAACAAAAGCTCTTTCTAGCATCATTGGATACATGGGATAAACAGAATTTTCTTGATTATTTGTAGTAATTTCCTGAATACCTAATGATAAATGATACCACTAAAGTGGAATGTGAGAGGTTTATTTCACTGGGCTTTCTTATTGAGGAGTAATATTTGTATAGCTTTGGTGGGATCTGTCAAAATTTGATCCATGTATACAACATGTAATATAGTTCGGGATGTTGAACTCTTCAAAAAATTTTTTGTGTTGGGACTCTTTGTTTTATTTTTTTCTTTATATCATAGATGATTTCAGCCAGTAGTTAGTTACTTTCCTGTGCCTTAAAAAGTAGAACTGATCCCTCTTTTCTCACTGTTTCAGTGCCCCATACACTTGTCATCTCTCCTCCCCTTTGCCCTTCCCAGTCTGAAAGAAAGTTTGATCGGGAAGTTAGCATTTCTATTTTATTTGTTAGTAATTATCTCATTTTTGTGGGTTTTTATACAGGCTTTGTAACAAGCGTTATGTGTTATTTTTAATTTCTTTTTATGATAGATTAGGTGGGCCAGGACAATTGAGTAAATACATTTTAAGTGTCTAATTTTAGAAGTTTATTGCAAGAGAGAATTAAAAACCATATGTTGCCAGGAAGTTGTGGCACACACCTTTAATCCCAGCACTTGGGAGGCAGAGGCAGGTGGATCTCTGAGTTTGAGGCCAGCCTGGTCTACAGAAAGAGCTCCTAGATAGCCAGGGCTACACAGAGAAACCCTGCCTCAATAAACAAACAAACAAACAAATAAATAAATCAATAAATAAAATTCTTGGACCATGCCTAATTTCAGGGATGCCATAAATGATAGTAGTCATTTGTCCTTTCAGACTACCCATAATTTAAGCTGGAATCAAGTGGCAAATTTTTACTAAATATGAAAAATGAAGTTAAATTATATACCCTTATAACATTATTATAAATTAATTAGTAGGTCATATAACTTGCCCTGTCTTATATTTACATACATATATTTACTTAATAAAATATTTGCTATATAACTAGGTTACATTTGTATATCTTTGTTACAGGTCATTATATCCTTAATGGATTTTAAGTAAATAGTTATTGCTTATAATGAAGTAGATACCCTTTAGGGTCAGGTGGTACTTTATTCCTTCAAAAAATAATTGGTACTTGTTAAAGTCCTGCAGGCACATAGAGACATGGAAGGTAGTCCTTTTCTCTCTGCCTCTATAGATTACATATGGAGCCTTGCCGTTAAATGAGTAGTTATAAATGTAATAAATATTAAAGTTTTAGGCTCTTTTTTTCTTTAAGAAGATGGAGAGGGTGAAGAGAGTCCTTGAAAAAAGGTATGGGCTAGACACGTTATGGTTGAACTGTAACACTACTCAATTCTTTAGCATGTGGAGGAGTGTGGCACCCATGAATACTGACTGCAATGTGGAAAATGGTGTGATAGAAATAACAATGGATTTAGAGTGACCAAATGATGGGGTAGGAGCAGTACATTAGATGAGAGACGGAAGCACAAAGGTGCAGAAGAGAAAGAAGTGGCCTAATTTGATGATACTCTCTTGATAATTTGTTAATGTAAGACTAGACAGCAAGGGCTGCAGAGATGGCTCAGCAGTTAAGACTGGCTGCTCCTCCAGAGGACCCAGGTCCAATTCCTAACACCCAGAAAGCAGCTCAGAATCATTGAACTCCAGTCCCAGGGGATCCCCTGCCTTCTTCTGGACTCTTTGGGTACCAGCGCCTGCACATGGTGCTCAGGCATACTTGAAACAAAACATCTCCATACAAAAAAATCATTTTTTTAAAAAAATATGGTTTGGACTTGCTCTTTAAATGTGTATGTGTGTAAGAGGAGGACAGAGGGTGTCAGTTTGCTTAGAGCGGGAGTTAGTTCATTATGAGCTACTTGATAGGGGTGTTGGAGCTTGAACTCTGGGTTCTCTGCAGGAATAGTTTGTGCTCCTGGTTTGGACTTCTAAAACTTTCAATGTTAGTCTCACTTAGTAAGACAGCTATTAAGGGATTGATTTGTAAGGGAGTTATATAGTATTAGAATTTACTAAACATCTCTCATTCCACAATATGGGGAAACTAGAGTTTAAATAACCCTAAGCAGTTACTCCTTCACTATGATTTCTTTGGAGTTTCTGCAAGCTGTCTGCCTCCCATTTCCACTGAGACCTACCGAAGAATACTACCACGTGGTACCTGTAACATGCCTTGAGGACTATGGTAAGACTGCAGTAGAGAGATGGCTCAGCAATTAAGAGCACTTGCTGCTCTTGCAGAGGATCTGGGTTCAGTTCCCAGCACCCATATTGCAAAATTAACAACTGCCTATAATTCTAGCTCCAGAAGATTGACTAACTCCCTCTTATGACCTTAAGAGGCATCTGCATACTTGTGGTACACATTCAATCAAGACAGACAGAAAGACACACACACACACACACACACACACACACACACACACACACACAAAAATAAAGATAAAATGCTTCTTTAAAATGACCAACTGGTGTTAAGTAACATAATCCATGAAGCAGATAATAAAATAAATGTGTGTCCAACATGATAGAAAGGTTTTTAAGCTAAAATTTCATTTCACATCTTGGTTAATTTTGTTGATTGATAGATGATTTCTAATTTTCTACCTGGAGGAGTAGCTCAGGTTGATAGCAGAAGGGAAAAGAGCACTGAGACTGAAAAATGCTGCATTAAAAATGGAGGGAGTTTGCCAGGCAGTGGCGCGCACCTGCAATCCCATCGCCAGGAGCCAGAGGCGGGCAGGTCCCAGTGCGTTCAAGGCCAGGGTCTACAGAGTGAGTTCCAGGACAAACAGCCAGGACTACACAGAAAGAAAATAACAAAAACAAACAAAACAACAACAAAATGTTTAGGGTATTTTTAGCCTGTAGTTAAAAGGGGCAGGGCATATTGAAAATCTAGAGAAAGTAATATTGTTACAGTTTTGTAAATAATTGACTTGTCCTGAGACAATTATGCTAAGAATGGAATCATTCTGATTAACAAAGCAGTATATGTATACACACACACACACTTAGTGTGTATGTAAAGAAATAAAAAAGTCTGATGTTTTGGTAATATTGCCTGTGTATATTAATTCTCTAGCATGTAAGACAAGTAGCCTAGAACAAGTTTTATGGTAAAAGTCTTACAGGAAATTTATATAGAAAGCATTTTCATATATATGTGTTTATTGCTTTTAAGACAGGGTCTTACATAGTTCTGGCAGTCAGGCCTAGAACTTGCCATGTTGATCATCTAGGCCTCTGTCTCAGAGCTCTGCCTGCTTCTGCTTCCCAAGTGCTGGGACTAAAGGTGTGCACCACTACACCCTGCCAAATTTAAATATTTTTTAAAAGTATATTTATATTAAAACATTACTTCTCCAAAAATAAAATCGAAGCAAGGAAAAATCATGAAGGCTTGCTTTTTAGCAACATGAGGGTGTTTCTCTTAATTCATTCTTTAAATCTAGGATTATATATGTAATACACACAGCTTTATCAGTTTCTAGGCATAAGTGATCTAATCTGTATGTGTTCTGAGGGTTTAAAAAGAACAGGAATACCATATTTTGACCAAGAAACTGTTTATCTCTGGAAAGAGGATGGGATGTTTTGACATAAGAACACTCTTGATAATGCAACTAATTATCAAAGAATGAAAGTGAATCACTTCAATGGATGGAAAAGCTATAAAATCTTACAGTTCCTCTTCTGTCTATTAGAAACTGGGCAGGGACACACTTATTTTCTGTTTTCATGTATATAACAATTTTCCCCTGGAAACTTGATTCAATCTAAATGCAAATGAATGCAGGAAAGTAATGTGGGTGGGTGTGACTCAGTAACTGTCTGCTGTTCAAGCTCAAGGACCCCAGTTCAGAGCCGGGGACTTACACCGAAGTCAGGCCTGGTCTTGGAACCTAAGCCCAGTAGTGGAGGGGCGCAGATAGACTGCACAGATAGCAGTGGATTCCTCAAGCCCCTTGTCCAGCTAGCCTGGCAGAATCAGTGAACTCCAGGTTAACTGAAAGACTGCCTAAAAAAATAAGGCGGTGAGTGGTCAGGGAGACAGCTGGTGTCAACCTCAAGCCTCCAGACATAGCTGTGAACAAGTTTGTGCACCGGCACAAAGTATTCTGTGCTTGAACTGACATATGCATACATGCTCCTCATGAATTTATTATGAACACTTTTGATCTAAGACTTTTTCCCCCAAAGATTTTCACATCTTGTGAAAGAATGATGTTTCACTTAACTGCTCTCGTCTTGGAACCCTGACATTGTACTAATGTTAAATTGCAGTTCTCAGGGATTCTTTAGGATAGTTTAAGTTTCTGGGGAATGAGTGTTATAATTTAAAATTATATGAAGCTTTAAAATTTATAATGTGAATTTCCCTTCTGATCTGTGAGAGAAACCATCTGGAACATGCTGGCAGAAAAAATAGTTGGAAAAGAATATAGAAATTATTATACATGTGTTAAATTCCCCCCTTTTTTTGTTTAATTCTCAGAAAACCAGACAAACAAAACAGTAGATTCTTCTGTTAAGAAAGTGGCAGATAGCACATCGCAGGTAAGATTGTTCTCTTTACCTCAGAGTTATGTTATGATCAACAGAAATTATGGTTTTCCTTACTTCATTAATTGCAGGTTCTGCGTTTTTGGGTTTCTTTTGTTGTTGTTGTTTGTTTTTTTGAGACAGGATCTTATGTAGCCCAGGCTAGTTTCAAACTCATGAGTATAAGTTTTCTGTTCCTTTTCCTTCAGGAGACCTTTGTTGTACTTTTAGTTTAGTGGATTTTAATAAGCTCATCAGCATTTGAATGAACTGTTCAATGTAGCAATGACTCTTTGCTTTTCTATAACATGTAATTTTCCTGTTTGTATTCAACATTTTCTTTTCATTGTTGATTGCAGTGGTGTCATTGTGATTTACATGGGAGTGAATTTTTTAGAGTTCTGCTTGGGGTTCATTGAAACTTTTCAGTTTGTAAATGCCTTTCTTTAGATTTTTTGGGGGTGTCACTATTTCTTTCCTATACTCAGCTTTCCTTTCCTTCACTTAAAAGGTCTTACTACGTTTATTTGTTTGGGGGTGTAGCAGGGTCCACAGGGAGATTAGAGGACAACTAATAGGTTTTCTGAAGTCTAGTCTAGCTAGGTCCTGGGGGTGCAACTAAAGTCCTCGGGTCTGGCGGCAAGAGTCTTTATCTGCTGAGCCATTGCACTGGCCCTCAATCAGATTTTTGTTGAGCTGTGTTAATTCCAGTGTTTCAATAATTCCTTGGGCTGGAAAAATTCTGTTGATGGATCAATTTCATGAAGTTCATCTTCATCTAATAAACTGCGTTTGAGCCCAGGCCGATGATTTTTAACATATTTGATAATTATTTTTTGAGAATTTTATACAGGTATACAATATATTTTGATCATCCACTCCCAACTCCCCCTAAATCCCCTACCACACATCTCTTCCCAGTTTCATGCCCCTCCCAAATAATCCACAGTCCAATTCCTGCTGCCCATGTGTGCGTGGAGGCGGGGCTAACCTGCCATTGGCTGCACCCTCTTCCAGTGGCCGTCAATTGCTTGTAATGCCTTAGCTAGGGCGAGGCCTCATGAACCTTTCTGTACCCATGCTTGAATTTGACTGGTGGGATCCTAGGGGCTTGTGCTGTAGGTTGTCACAGTTTTGTGTGGTCATCACTGAAGCTGCTGTGTCGTGTCCAGAAGGCAGCATTCCCAACACTCCTCCCGTCCTTTGGCTCTTCGTTGATTCTAGTTCCTGTCCCTGCACATACTCAGTCTTGGATGGTGGGAGGGTGTGTTGTTTGTAGATTGTCACACTTATGGCTGAGCACACAGTCTCTCTCAGTCTTTAACTAGCTTTGTATTAACACTGTCTACTGCAAAGAGAAGGTTCTCTGACAAAAACCAAGAGCAGTAAAAATGCATGGCTGAAAACATAAGTATTTAGAAGACAGTTTGACAGTTTAGCAAACAACAATAAGAGTGTGTCATGTCCATGTTTGCTCCACGCCCCCCATGCCAACCTCACACACTATAATTTGACCTGGTTTACAATACCAGTCACACATTGCCTTCTATGGGACAGCCTCAAATTTGATTATCTCCGTAGCACTAATGTCACTATTTGGCTATTCCTATAACGTTACTACTAGTGTACCAGTGGGAATGTCACATCTTGCCTGGAAGATCAGTATTATGGCATGCAGGGAGCAGTACTGGGTAGACCAGTGATATCTTTCCTCTGCCAGTGGCCTGCATGCCTGTCAGCATTATGAAAGATGACAGTGAGGAAGTTTCCAGTCAGTTCTAGGTTGATTTCTTCATGTCCTGCAACCAAAGTGTGTGGTGTTTTCAGCAGTGTGCTCTTATCATGTAGTTATGGTAGACAAAGAAGAGCAATAATAGACTGTGTTGTTCTAGGGGCCTCCATGACCCTTAACCATGCATAACACAGAATTTTATTTAATAACAACCCATGACTCCTGGGAGGGACATTGTCCACCTATGCAGGGAATATATCCATTCAAATTCCCTTTTCTTTATATTTTTAATTATTTTAAAAGTAGTGATTTTCCATAAGGCTTCTTCATATATCCTTAGGTTTAGTTTAGTTTAGTTTTGTTTTGTTTTTCAAGACAGGATTTCTCTGTAGCTTTGGAGCCTGTCCTGGCACTTGCTCTGTAGACCAGGCTGGCCTCAAACTCACAGAGATCCTCCTGCCTCTGCCTCCCTCCCCCTAGAGTGCTGGGATTAAAGGCGTGTGCCACCAATGCCTGGCCTCCTTAGTTTTTTTTTAACCTGCTCTTTATCCCTTCCTCTTGTCTGATCTCCCCCAACCCACCTACTTCAACTAACTTTTTTAAAAAAGAGATTTAAGCTATTTTTATTTATTTTACTAGAGAGGGCTGTTTTCGAGACAGGTCTCTCTATATAGCTCTGGATGTCCTGGAACTCACTATTTAGCCAAACTGGCTTCAAACTCACAGAGATCCTCCTTCCTTGGCCTCCTTTGTGTTGGGAGTGTGTGCCACTACATCAGGCGCTCCAGACAATTTAAAAAAAAAAAAGATTATTTAGTTCTTTGTGCATGTGGAGGATGTCTGTGTATGGGGTACTTAGGGGCGTCAGATTCCTTGATGGGAGAGCTAGAGGCAGTTGTGAGCCAGCTGCCTGGTATCTGGTAATGAAGCTCAGGTCTTCTGCAAGAATAATATGCTGCTCTCTTACCTACCCACTCAGCCATCCTCTTTCTAGCATGTCCAGCTACTCTCTTCTCTGATAATCATTTTCAACCCATGCTTTTTTCTTTTTCCTTTTAGTTTTTCTTATTTATTCAGTTGTTAATATCATACTTTTCATAGTTACTTTGCACTCATAATCTCCAGAAGATAGTATTGGACTGGAATCTGATTTTGCTGATTATTTATTTATATGTATCCACGTTACTGTGTGTTTTTGTTTTTTCCCTTCCATGTCTTGTAATGTCTCTGGTCCCTGATTTCAAAATTTGGTAGATTTTGAAAACTGAACCTTATAAATAACACATGATGGTAGTAAGTAAATGACTTTGAATTCCTCGAGGACTAGAAACTTAACTTTGAATTAAACCACTCAACTGGTTTGTATTGGTGTTTGTAATTATTTAAACATCTATGAAATTATTTTAGAAAGTGTTTTACAAGATTTAGAATAACTGTGTTAGGATTGGGCCTGGATTTTCTAAAGTCAGGGAATTCTTTTCTAATGTTTCCTACTACATTTATCTCTTGTGTATATGTTCCACAGTGCTCTTGTGGGCAGAGGGTGGCTGTGGATGTCAGTCTCTCCTTCATCCATCTGGTGGGGCCTGGAGATTAGACTCAAGGTGGTCAGGTGCTGGAACAAGGACCTCTACCTGGAGAGCCATATCCAAGGGGGGCCCAGTTTCTGCTGTCTTTAGTTCCCACTTGAGTTTTACAGATGAACACCTTCGTTATTAAGAGTCCATCTCAAGATGACATGCCAAATTATGATTATCATTTGCTAAGCGATACCGTATTTCCTGTGTGATGTTAGGCATTTTGTGCATACATTTGTGTTAATCTTTGTAATTGGCTTACACCTCTTCATTTAGAGAGTAATTCCTACAGCTCACAAGTTGGATCGTAAGCTGCAGCTAGTCTGTCTGACTGCAGATGCTGGCTCTGCAGCCAGTGCTGGTCTACCTTCTTCTGTTACTCTTGGCTTTGGTTTTGATTTTAATCCTAATTGTCTTATAATGATTTTGGACACTGTGCTGAGTTTAGTCAAATTGAACAACCCCTAATGACATAGCCACGTGGTTTTTTAATGTGTGGCGGTGTGTGTGTGTGTGTGTGTGTGTGTGTGTGTGTGTGTGTGTGTGTACATTTCAGTTCTCTTTGCAGCTTCACTGTGAATGTAGTCCTTAGTGTTTTGATACATCCATAACTGATCACCTAGGGTAAGACTGGCTGGTGCCTTCATTGTCAGAAAATGGATATTGTTTGTATTTAACCGTGTAGCACTTACAGCAGCTCTCTGTAACAGACAGCTTTAGTTTTAAAACTATTAGAATTTTGTTAGGAAGTATTTGAAAATTATGATGTATTGCAATAATTAGTGTTTTATGTTTTACTTATTATATGTGCTGGTAATTGTATGTGTATGAGTGCTCACATGCCAAAACATGCAAGAGGAGGTCAGAGGACAACTGTGGGAGGAAACGAGTTCTTTTCTGTCACCATGCGAGCACTAGAGTGCAAACGCCAGGCTTGGCTGAGACATCTGCCAGCTCTGTGAGTTTGAACTCACAGCTGTGCTGTGCTGTGCTGTGCTGTTTCCTTGTCAAACTGTTGAGGTAAAGGTATTTAGGGGCCTGGCTTGAACTAGTTAGGGCCAACTTTTGCCTGTTACCACCACTTACTTGGCTTTTGCCAGTTCCATTAGAAAATCAACCAAGTTTTGTTTTTCAGAGTGGGAAAGCTTCTAGCAATGATTCAAGTGGTGTCATTGACCTCACAATGGACGATGAAGAGAGTGGAACTACACAAGGTACTAAATATAATTCTTCGAAGAAATGCTATAATGACATTTCTCTCTTAATATTTGGTGATATTTTGGGAAGGTAAAATTGATGTATCTATATCCCTTTTAGAATTAGAACTAAGAAACAGCAATCAAATCCTGAATGAAGATGAGCAAGCTATAGAGGAAATCAGCAGTTAGAATGCTTCCGTTATGCCTGCTAGCCCCATTGCTCTCTCTATCGAGTCCTCTCCTTCATCTAGAGTTTAAGGAACCTCAGGAAGCAGCAGAATCTGCAGGAGACCCAAGAATCAAGTCTCCTTTGCTTGCTTGCTCTCTTGGTCCCCCTTCCCCGTCTCTTCCCCCTTCCCCGTCTCTTCCCCCTTCCCCGTCTCTTCCCCCTTTCCCTTCTTCTTCCTTTCACCCCCTCTTCTAGTGTAGAGACTTTTAAGTGTATGTCCATTGAATTTTGATCTTTAGAATTGGTTTCCTTTAGTGCTATGTAAATAAAAATCAAAATTTAATAATCATTTTCATCAATCATTCCTAATAAATTTTTTTAGTTACAGTATTCTGAAACTAAATTGGATGGATACTAAGCCATATTCTTTGGATTCATGAATAAATGTTCCTTGGTTAATTCTAATGGGAAAGTCCTGAGTTAAAATTCAGAGGTTGTTCATCACCATCACGGTCACCACCATCATCAATGTACACTAATGTAGTCTTTACTGTGGTGATTTATAATTTAAATCTCCAGTCATGATTCAAACTACAGTGTTTCAGACTCTTTGGCTATCAGTGTCCTTGTTCACAGACATGTATAAAACCATGATGATAAAGTATGCATTTGAGAAGATCTAAATGCTAATTATTTTATCTTGAAGTCAATAAACTTAATAAACAAAGGTTTAACAAAGTCATATTTTAGAGTATAAGACACTTGTTTTGGGAGAAATAAAATTAAGTAAATGTAGTTAACTTTAATTACTATAGAACTGTATACAGCTGAGGTTCAGCTGAGACAATTATCCTGCCCTTCATCAAGGCTGACCTCATTCGGGTGTGATGATACACTTGTCTGATGGGGATTTGAGACTGTTCAAATCGTCATTTCACTTTCAGTTGTGCTCAGTTTGTTTTCATAGATTGGTTTGGCTCTCAGAACTTCTTAGAGGAACAAAAAATAAATACTGAAGTAGGATGCTGGGAGGGCAGAGCTAGCCATGAGTCCAGGCATCCTGCCTGCCAGCATGTTAGCCTCTTGGGGCTGCTTTCACTGCCTCACCTCTGGTCATGTGAATTCTCCCATTCAGAAGTACATTGTTGTGTTGAGATAAGCTCTTGGTTATATTTTAATGAGAAATTCCATAGGATGGAATGGATGAGGGTCATCTGATACTCTTCACAGCATGCCATCCAAGAGTTTTTAAATGTTAGGTTTGTCTGAGATGTAGACATTTATTTTGTAGGCCATCAGAGACCCTTTTGATACTTTCAGCCTTTATACTTGAAGAAACAGTGATGATGAGCAAGCACTTAATACAGATCTAAGAAACTCTGAGAATTGAAGTTTAAGGCCAGGGACAGCCATCAGTTTACATTATTTGTCTAGAAGAATGTCTGTGATGATAGGTGTATGAATACATACAAATGTATGTTTTTGCAATGAAGTTATCCTAGTCAGTATGATACATTGAATCCAGAAAGTTCTTGCACTAAAAAATAAAACTCTATTCCTCTAAAAGTGTGAGTTGGTGTCTGCTAAGAAGCACCGGTGGAATATTTAAACAGGTTTTCAAATCAGCAAAATCCTACATAATGAGAAAAGAAAAATGTTGTTTTTGAAGAGGGAGTTGCAAGTGCAAGCAGTTTCCCCGGTAAAAGTCAGGTCTGTGCTGCTTGTGTTGCCTGTCACCAACCACGTATCTTATGTTTTAATTAGCAGATCCCAAAAAGCTAAGTCAGCCGCCTGCGCCAACTATGAGCACTTCTCAGCCCATATCTCGACCGTTGCAGCCCATTCAGCCAGCACCACCTGCTCAGCCATCTGGGGTGCCGACAAGTGGGCCATCTCAGACAACTATCCACTTACTGCCCACAGGTAATTTTTGCTAAGTCACCGAGCGGGAACGTTAGTTTGTGTATAGAACACTGTGGTTATGGAATTGTGTGAAGAATCAATAAAACCTTAAGAATCATTCTTACACTTTGATGAGAATGTTTGTGGTTTTGAACATGTGATGTGGCCTGGCTTTGCTCACTGAGCAATATAAGTAGAGAATAATTCTGAAACTTTATCTATGTCATTGTCATTAGCTGCTTAGAAGAGCAGAAATAAACCATTTGCCTCTCTGGAAAGGCTACTTGTAAGGATTTTGTTCGGAATATAACAAAGAAATTTCAGTGACTGGTATATATGGTGTGTGTGTGTGTGTGTGTGTGTGTGTGTGTGTGTGTGTGTGTGTGTGTGTTTGGAGGTTTAACCTAAGGCCTTAAGCTTGCTAGGTAAGCAGTCTCTTGATGGGGATATTCTTCTGTCTGCATGTTTCTCTTATTGGTTGATGAATAAAACACTGATTGGCCAGTAGCCAGGCAGGGAGTATAGGCAGGGCTACAAGATGAGAATTCTCGGGCGAGGATGCAGATGGAGGTGGCCAGGGGCAGACACCAAGTAGCTACAGGGAAGATAGGATGCGATGGGTGTTCTTTGCTAAGGTAAGGCCATGTAGAAATACTTAAATTAATAGGAATGGGTTCTTAATAGAAATGGCTTAATATTTAAGAGAGAGCTAGCCAGTAAGAAGCCTGAGCAATTGGCTAACAGTTCATAATTAATATAAGTCTTAGTGTGTTTATTTGAGGCAAAGTGTCTGTAGGACCAGGCGGAACAGAAACTCCATCTCCACTGAGGCATGGTCTGAGGTTCAAGGTAGTTTTAACCAACCTACCATCCTATCAAGAAGTTCATGCTAATATTTTACCTGCTACTACATTTCAAGAGTATGTAACCTATTTCACATAAGCTGTTTAGAAGTCAACCAAGGCAGTATGGCTTCTTGGAAGTTAGGTTATAGCTCAGAGATTTGTCTGCAGAGTGCTTCCACAAACACCCCTCTGAGGAAGGAAGACATAGCTAAATGTGATTTGAGCATGAGATTGTTGAAGTTGTTCTTTGTGTGGTAAGTGAATGTTGGTGAGTGTGGTGACTACAGAGCATTTGCCTTCCAGAATCCTGATGTGATCTCATGGTCTGCAGCTCCAGCTGCTGTCTGCCCTGCTGGCATTTCTAGCCAAAAACATGTGTTTGTGTGACTATTTCCAGTATAGATGTTTGATGTTGGTCTTTATATGTAAATGCCATTTTTCTATCTAAATATAGCCATTATTGCATTCAAACCTTAGCAGTTCTGTGTCTCTTTTACCTCCATCCAAAGTTAGGGTGACAGTTACCTAATTTATAGTTTAGAAGGAAGTGTTACTAGATAAGCAGACACATTGGCGGTTGTCATCAGATGCTGGACTCCCCCTTTACGTCGTATTGGATGGGTCTGTTCTTTGAGCTTTTCCGGCTGTTTCTCTTGTGGCTGCTGAGTCGATGAGTGTGGCTGGGTGCTGCCTGGTAGGTTTCACTGAACTTGTTCCTTATTGGTATGAAATGGCCTGCTCTGCCTCTGTCCCTTGCCATATAGTTAGCTCAGCTAGACAGACAGACACACCTGAAGTGGGGGAAGGGCTTGAGGTATGTGACGAGTGGGTGGCTCAAGCCTGACAGTCTTTCTCCCCACGGTAGATTTTGTGTGATGGTAATTACTGCTTTATGCTGTCTTCTTTACATAGCACTAACTCCATTCTTGTATCTCTTGTTGCCTCCCATTAGCTCCAACCACCGTGAATGTAACACATCGACCAGTAACTCAGGTGACCACAAGACTCCCTGTACCAAGAGCTCCTGCAAACCACCAGGTGGTTTATACAACTGTCCCAGCACCACCAGCTCAGGCTCCACTACGAGGGACTGTTATGCAGGCTCCTGCTGTCCGCCAGGTCAACCCTCAAAACAGTAAGATAGGCTCTTTTCTTCTGTATGGCTTTGTGTGCTGCTCTGTCCTGACATTAGCTGATGACATTAGGGATATAGCAAAACCCTTCATGGTACAGTTAGTAACACTGTAGTGCAGGGAAGATTGCTGAAACCGGAGATTTTAAGGGATTTCATAGAACAAATGATAAGAACATGAGTAGTTCAGCTTCAGCACTCCACAATGTGTACATTTCTCAGTTGACCAAAAGTATATAGTGTTGTCCATCAAAAAGAACTCTGAAGATATTTTATCAGTTTTTCTCCTAATTATTTATTTAGAGATGGGGTCTCTGGCTGGCCTTGAGCTCACAGAGATCCAGCCACCTGCCTCTGCCTCCCAAGGGCCAGGATTAAAGGTGTGCATCGCTACATCCAGCCCTTCTTATGGCTAAAAGAGAGAAATTGAACGTGCATACAGTAGGATTTGTAGTCTTTATATTGCCTTCAGTTTAACTTTGTTAATGGTCCATATTATAACAACCCTTTAGATACTTATTAATGTTTTGAGACAGGGTCTCACCATATATCCCTGGCTGAATGAAAGCTTGCTGTGTTGACCACGCTGGCCTCAAACTCGCAGAAGGCTACCTACCCCTGCCTCCCTTTCTCCATGCTGAGGTTGAAAGGCATGTACTTTAAGCTCTACACTTAATAATAGCCAAATTAGAGTTGGAATGGTAAGTTGTGGCTTAACCCAGAAAAGGATCATCGAGGCAAAGGTGGTCTATGCTGGTAGTCTGAAAAGGCATGGAAAGCAGCTAGGGAAATGAAAGGAAGGAAAAATTTAAAGTTTAGAGTTTATTTGAGCTATAATTATAACCATTTTCTATTAAATTAAAATACTATATATTAGTAGCATAGAATATATATAATATATATGTATATATATTATATATTATATATTATATGCCTTAGTAGTAGAATATAGCATATGAAATCAAGTTAAGGTTTAGAAGCTGGGCATTAGGTGCACCCACTTGGAAAGTGAAGGCAATCGGATCAGAAGCTCAAAGTCGTCCTGGGCTACATAGTGATTTCAAGGCCAGCCTAAGCTACATGAGACCCTACCTCAAAAAGCCCAAATAAATAGACCCATAAAAATGCATAAATGAAGTTTAAAGGAAAGTAATGAAGTGAACCACAAGTGACCTGTACAATATTAGGAAGCAGGACTTTATCACTCTTCCGTCTTTATTAACCACCCCGTCTTCCTGTCTGCCATCCTCCCTGTTTCTCTGATCAGCTCTGTTACCCTTTATTTATTGTCAACAGTGTAGGTGTCACTTGTATATGTTTGTCCTACATACATAAATATATAGTGTAAAATTTCAATGCTGATATATTTGTGTATATGTACTTATATTTATAAAATGAGCACAAATTAGCTGTTTTCAAAAACTAATAATTCCCAGAAGTGTTTGCTTCTAGGAAAAAAATTAAACTAAATGGAGCCCTGGGATCATAGTCTAGCTTTAGCTCTCTCAAGTTTGGAAGGATTTTCTCTAGGCCGTTGTTCGATTGGAACAGCCAGGGCACCTGGCAAGACTAGCTTAGATCAAGCACTAAATGTCTGGCGGGAACATAGTGGGGATAGTAGATGGCTCTAAATTCTCTACTTGTATTGACCTTGGGTAATGTCACAGTAGCTTTCCTTGTGGGGAAGTGTCTACAGCTGATTAGCAGTATCTAAAGAGAAAGTGAAGAACATAGGACTGGGGACTTTTTTAAAGAAGATTTTATTCATTTGTTCGTGTGTGTATGTGTCTGTGTGTCTGTCGGTCTTCACAGGCTGGAAAAGGATGTTGGGTCACCTGGAGCTGGAGTTTGAGTATGAGAGCTACCTGATATGGGTGCAGGGACCCAAATGCAGGTCCTTCCTAAGAGCGGTTTTTGCTCTTCCTGCTAAGCCTCCTCTCTCGCCCCAAGGGGGATTTTGATGACAGCGGCTGTCTGTCCACCTTTGGCTCCAGTCTGGCTGTTGCCCACACTTGGGGTTTTCATTTCTGGTTGTCGCTATAAAGACCTGTGTGTTTGTGCTGTTCTCGTATGGCATGTTGCTGCTTGCAGTCTACAGCGCGACCTGAGCAAGAGCTTGTGAAAGTGCTTGAACTTGATTTCTTTATCCTCATGGTTAAGTCACAGTTTGGCTGACTGGAGACTTCAGTTGGAAACGTTTTCCCTCTTGAATTTGTAAAATATTGTTTTATTAGTAGTGTTTATAATACCCAAACAAATTCACAGTAGGATTTTGATATTTCCCTTATACTATGCTTCATTTTCTTTTGCAGGTGTTACAGTTCGAGTGCCTCAGACAACCACGTATGTTGTAAACAACGGGCTGACCCTGGGATCAGCAGGGCCTCAGCTCACGGTGCATCACCGGCCGCCACAAGTGCACACTGTAAATGTCAGTGCTTGGCTTTCTTATCCTTCTAGTCTCCTTTGCCTCTTGTTATTGTTAGTTCCTTTGCTTTAGGGTCTCTCTGTGTAGCCCTGGCTCCTAAAACTCACTCAGTAGACCAGGCTGGCCTCACCCTGATCTGCCTGAGTCTGCCTGTGTGTGTGTGTGTGAATGATCCACATTCCCAGCCCTAGAACCTCGAGCTGAACAGTGATTTTTTTTCTTGCTTACTTTTGGTGGAACAGTAGTATCATTGACTGAGCGTCTGTGTCCCTGCCACTCTAAGAACTTCATTGTTTGCTCTAGCCCTCATAATTCTATGGGGATTAGTAGAGGTAGTCTCATTAAAAAAAAAGTAACATAAAATATAAAAGGATAGTATGTCATGAAGGTGTTTAGTTAGTTAGACCCAGCCAGATCTCAGGTGCCCCTGGAGCTTCCCTTCTTCAGTTCTGGCTGTTTTGAGGTACACGGCAAATTTGCCATTACTGTTGCAGCTACAAAAGAATGCTTTGCTTTGTTCAGGGAATTATAATATAGCAACTAGGAGAGCTTTCCACTTCATAACTGACCAGAGCTTCTGAAACTTTTTGCTCTGTAAATTGTTTTGCTAGAAACGTTGACTTCTTATTTTATTCTAATGCAATTTTAAAGCTTTTAAGGACAACTGTGCATACCTATAAGCACTTGACAGTTTATTCTGTGTGCCACTGTATTCCTACAGCACTTGGTACATTTGTTGGTTTCCTTTGAGGCCGGTCTCCTTGTAGTTCAAACTGGCCTCAGACCTGTGGTCCTCTTGCCTTAGTCTTCAGGAGTTGCTGTTGCAGAGGGTCCACTGACCTGTGTAGCCACACTTGCTTATTTTAAGTAAATACCTAGTGATGTATTTCTTCCCAAAAACTTCAACAGAAATCCCAACTGCACTGACAAAACAAAACTTGACTAGTTTTCACTAGTTGGGGGACTTGAGTAGATTCAACAAGCATAAGCAGTTAAAGAACTAGAAGGAATATAGTAGGCCACAGAAGCTCTAAGCAAATCCATTAAATTCCAAGGCTTTCTTAAGCCCATGGCTTCAGCCAGCCTGTCTTAAACTGTGTGGTTTTAATGAACTGAGATGATTAGTCACTCAGGAGGAGATCAATACAGGAGTATAGCTATGGCTGCTGTTCCCTCAGGCCTGATCCCAGTTTTCAGTGTGTTAGTCCCTTAAACTTGGGGCTTCTCTACACTTGATTTTGTCTGCTAACTGGTGATGTGTTTGTCTCTCCACAAATGTTATGTGTAACTTCTTTACCGCCAGGAACAATGCCTTTCAGCAAACATCTGCATTCCCTGAAACCATCATTATATGATTCAAGCTCTTTCTGGCTTCAGTCCTGTAGTCTTAACACCTACATCCCTTCTGTCCTTCGAGTATCTCTTCTCATAGTAGACTATAATAGTTTTGCATGCCCTCTTTCATGGTAATTAGTAGATTTTGGATTCCAGTTCAATGGTAATCCCTAAGGAGAATCACATTTGCCCTGTTACTTGGCACTTTTTTTTTTTTTATGCAGCTTTTAGAATAATTTGTCTTCTACTTTTAAAAGTTTGACTAAAAGCATTTAGTAGCCTGTTATCCACTAGTTAATTCAATCTGAAGTTTTGCTTTGCTTTGCTTTGCTCTGTTGGGGTGCTGGAGATCAACCTAGGACCTCATCCATCAGTTGTTTGCACTGAGCTATGTCCCTACCCTGAAATACAGACAAATGTTGTGTTATATGAAGTTTGCTAAGGAATGACATTTGAACTCCAGTACAAAGTCAGCGAGGAGTATATTGCACTTGTGCTCACTGCATCTGTTTGATGGCTCTTTTTTTTTTTTTTTTTTTTTTTGGATGTACCCTGTGCCAGAGGAAATGTTAACACTCTCTCTTGTCTGCTAACCTCCCTGCTTCCTCTGTTCATGCTTTCCCGGTTAACAGGCTGGTGGCGGGGCATTTGGCCATTTCTGCATCTATAAGTCCTCCTGTCTTTCATTGTATCACCTTTTTCATCCAGACTGACCAAGAGCATTATTCATGTTCAGCATTATTATATGTGTGCTGCTGTCTTTGTATAAAAGACATTGTAGGTTTAATGTGAGTGTGGTTTTATGTGCCAATTTGTATGTCACACATAATTTTTAAATGCTTTCCTAAAATGAGAATCTGTGGTAGAGAAGATTAAATTGTAAATTATTTGTTAGACATAGATGATCCCCACTGTGTCAGCATCTCTTCAATGATATTCCATTAGGAATGTATTTTCCGTCTAGGAAATATAGTTGAGTAAGTTTAGCACCATTGTTTGGGGTATGATTAGTTGTGTTTCACTGAGTAGAATTTTTCAGAGTTCTTAATGTAAAGTGATAGCTCTCTATGATCACTAAGGTATCTTCTGAAGTGATTCTATAATGGCTAAAAATCAACACATCTTTTCTTTTTCTAGGAGCCCCCACGTCCCATGCACCCAGCACCTTTACCTGAAGCCCCGCAGCCACAGCGTCTGCCCCCAGAAGCTGCCAGCACTTCTCTGCCTCAGAAACCACACTTGAAGTTGGCACGAGTTCAGAGTCAGAACGGCATCGTGCTGTCCTGGAGTGTCCTGGAGGTGGACCGAAGCTGTGCCGCTGTTGACAGCTACCATCTCTATGCTTACCATGAGGAACCCAGTGCCACTGTGCCCTCTCAGTGGAAGAAGATTGGCGAAGTCAAAGCCCTCCCCTTACCCATGGCTTGCACTCTCACTCAGTTTGTGTCTGGCAGCAAGTACTACTTTGCAGTGCGCGCCAAGGACATTTATGGCCGTTTTGGGCCTTTCTGTGACCCTCAGTCCACGGACGTGATCTCTTCCTCCCAGAACAGTTAGACCTTGGAGCCTTTAGCTTCCTCTTTTCAAAGTTCCACATTTTGGGCTTGTTTTTAATCTTGTGCATGAAATTCAATGTAAAATCCACCTTGTGCAAGATCTCTTGGACAGATGAGTGTACACACTACGTTTGTTTATAACTGAAGTATAATAAATTCAGCCCATAAAGCAAGTCTTCCCCTGAACAAGTCAAGTTTCAGGGTTTTGAAATGTAAATTGATCCTTGCTTTAGTTTTGAGGCTGGGGAATACGTATGGGTGTTTGTGAGTGTCTTCTTTCTTGTTTTGTTTTCATTTTTAAATTTCTAGTTGTGTGTTATCACGTGCAGTCTCCATTGTCACGCAGATTACCTCTCTTCCAGTAGGAAGTAAGTAGATGAAAGAATCTGAAGTGTGTTGCTGGTCTTTAGGGGGATCTAGAAGATCAAAGAATCTAAATAAAACCCAAAGAAATAAAAAAGAAAAATATTTAGCTTAAAATAGATGAATTTGAACAGAGGACGTGTTCTCTCCATATTTTCTTTGATTTCTTCTGAGTTGCTGATTAGGTGAAAAATATATCTGCACCGAGTCCCTAATCTGGCTTCTCCATTTGTGTTGTGCCTTACAAGCTACAGAGATACAGAGACCATGTGCCCATTGTTGTTTATCCCTCTTTAACTTTCATTTGTTCCTCTTTGTCACCAAGGATACCAAGCCCTTTATGCATTTCTAAAACCAAGGTGTGTAAGGGTGTGTTGTGTGCTTTCTTCATCTTCTGTATCATCACTATACTTAACTCCAAAAATTTTTACTGTTTTCTTTTAAGGACATACTTCTATTTTTGCCCATTATTTAACTCTTCATAAAATAACCCATATTTTTAAGAAAAATTTTCATTAAACTTGTTTTAATATTCATGTTGCATTGTTAGAGAACCTGAAGGAAGTTCTGGCTCATTTCATCACTTGTGGGAGAATGCTCTTTCTAAGGCGGTAAATGTCCCTGTTTATAAAAGAGCGGGAGCTCAGACTCACCTCCTTCTTTGAGGCCCTTCCTGCTTCAGTCTTCACTTGGTTTTGGTGGTGCCAAGTGGCGCCTGATTTCATCAACTTTGGATAGAACTTAGAAGCATATCCTTTTGGGTCATTTCACATAAACTCTTAGATCCCATCACTCCAGTATTTTTCGTGCTCAGCAAAATTAACAGAGTAGGCTAATGCCTGCACCTTCAAGGGCTGTCAGCTGCAGGGCAGTCAGCAAGGTGCTTTAGAGCTGGCTGAGGAGGAGGGTGAGCACTGAGGGATGGATGAATGAATGAGTGAGTGAAGCATTGTGGAGTTCTTGAAGTCACTTTCAAGCTGTCATAGTTCTGCCTTCTCAAAATACATCAGTCATTCACTTTTCCTGGCATTCAAAGCAGGGTGCTCCGTTCCCTCTGTGTGTTTGTTCCTCTGATAGCTTACAGCAGGAACCGTTCAGTTGTGAAGAAATTGTCTTTGGTGATGTCGCACTCGTGTTGTTCTGTCATCCTCGGTGTGAACTTTGGTTGATGAAGGAAGCCTGCAGTTGCCAAAAGGGAATTGCTCCTACCCTTCCACTCTGAGAAAAAGGAGACCGCATGAGAATCCGTTTTCCACACATGTAAATGCTCCTAACCTTCCACTCTGAGAAAAAGGAGACCGCATGAGAATCCGTTTTCCACACATTAAATGTGGCGAGCAGTTATATAGCAAGTACTCCATAGAGTCCTGATCATGCTAAAGTGTTGCCCATGTTACGGTAATGAGGATTTGGAATGGAAGCAGTTATCTTCTAGCTGTGTGTGAGCGCCTCTCTGTACCGGTGTGTTTGTATCTTCACCTTTTGTGGGAGCACAGGCTCAGTGCTCTGTTCAACATCATTCCTATCTATATAGTAGAGAAACACATTTAAAACCATTTTTACTGACTGCCCAGTAGCCAGTGGAAGTTTTTCTGGATGAATATTTTTATTTATATTCACTAATCATTTTTTGTTTTCTACTTCTTAAGTTTTCATAGTGTTATATAATCAGGGGAAGAAAGCGCAGAGGAATTACTACATTTCATTGTTTTGTCTTCTACTGGGGGTGTTTTTGTCAAAGGGGGAAAAAATCAAATAATGGCTCTAGATGTAGATTTCCTGCAGAAAGTAATTACTGAGAATTGTTTACTCCAAATTGGAAAGAAGGTATGAAGAGAGACTAATTGTTGAGGGTAAATACATTTGTGGATACAGGCTACTCAGATAACCTTCCATGAGGCTTTGGGCAGCAGCCTTGTTGGGTTTCATGGGATGTGCTAGGCTTTTTCCGTGGGGCAAACGTAAGTGCTGATGGGTTTTTGTCTGCTTGTCTCTGGGGGCACTGGAGGACTTGTAGATGTAGCTGCAGGCTCCAGCCATCAGGATAGTTAGCAGCAGTTCACATCCCATGGCTCTCTTTGATTCCTTGGTATCTCTCAAAGTATTACAAATACGCTCACTTGTCCCATTTTGGGAATTGAAGTTTGCTACATTTTTAGCCTGCTAGCCCTGGTAAGTATTGCCTTACTGGGAATCCTGGAAACTTGAGAAGTTTCAGCCTGAAGTGTCAGATGTTTATACGGTAATGAATGGCGACAGCAATATTTGTCACCTCTACTTTGCACTTTGTCAGAGTACTTCTCACCATTTTAGTGTGAGTACGCCTCTTTCCTTCATGCTCTCTCGAATGGCATACGAAAAAGCATCTTGTGACAGTTAATCTGACAAGGTGACTGTCCCTCAGTTTCTCGGGCTTGATTTTTAAGCTCTGCGGAATACTTTGTACTGTGTGATGCAGTTTGACTTTATGGAAGAAACTGAGCTTTCTTCCTTGGTAATTCTTGTTGGGATACCATTTACCTCACAGAGAGGTATCCTCCTTAAACCTCCACCCGTGTGCCAGATAAGGGATTCCTTTAAAAACAAGAATCTTGGCCATTTCAGGTGCATCTCTGTGGAGCTTTCTTTACACACTGGACGGGTGTTCTTGTTGCTTGCTCCATTGCTTTGAATGTCCTCTAAATTGTCACTTGGTGTCACTGCTGCCTGGTAGGCATGTCACTTCCCATGAGTTTCACAGTAGTGAATGCGATTTAAGATGCTGTGTGTGGCACTGTCTGCCAGGTGCTATGATCTCGCACCACAGGTACCACAAAGAAACCTTCCAGGTGTTCTCCCTGACTCTACCTTAGGCCATTTCAGTATCCTCAATATGGTATTTTTTCTTCTTGCTTCCCTGTGGTTGGGTCACCTGTTTGACTTCATGGACATACACATGTTCTTGGGCATAGATAATAACACTGTAGTCATGTGTGATTCTGTCTTCCTTAATTATTTTCTGGGCTAATGGCTTTAAAGAAATATTTGAGGGGCATGCACACAAAGATTAGAGCAGTGTAACATGGATAAATAAATGACCCAGAGACTGATATTGGAGTCCAAGCTTCAAGCTGAAGATCAGAAAAGCAAAGCATCTGGACACTAGCTCTCACCTCTAGCTCAGGCTGAAAGGGCTCTTCACCAAGTCTCAAACTGCTGCCTCTCCTCAGTGTGGCTGGAGAATGGATCCCCCTCTGAGACCTTGCTTCTGTCTTATGTACTTCCCTAATGTTGGGATTAAAGGCGTGAGCTATAATTCTCTTTTAGACTGATTCACTCTTGTGCAGATCTGGATGGCCATCTATCTCTTAATCCTGAGTCCTAGGATTAAAGGAGTGTACCACCACCTCCTTGTTTCTGGCTGATGGGATTAAAGATGTGTGTCTGGCTTCTATGGCCTGTGGCTGGCTTTGCTTTCTGAATCCTCAGGCAAGCTTTAATAAATCATAAATAATATATCACTACAGAACAGTTACCATGAGGGGTCTTTCAGTGTAGGAGACTTACCTAATTCTTAAAACTCATCCCCTTGAGGCAGCTGAACGGGAGGAGCTGAAGACACACTGGTCTCATCTTCAAATGATCTTATCATGTTTGAGCTTTTGTTTTTGTGTTTTATATGTAGACAGCTGAGTACCTATCATTTAAATATTTAAATGATTTTTTTTCCTTTTGTAAATAAGGGAACTAAGCAATCAAACACCTTCTGGGGTTATCAACCATTTCAAACATAAATGTAAAAATAAACCCCTCGTAGGAAAATGTGCATCCTAATTTTTGTTGATTGCAGTTGGAAGTGTAAATAGTAAGATGATGTAAGACCTTCCTAAGGTCTAATATTAATGGGGCAGTAGCAAGTTGCCCTATTTTTTATTAGGTTTTGAAAGTTTTTTCTTTCCTAAATGTACAGTAGAGTGCCGTCTGTGTAAGTGTTAACTGTAGTGGGGATTTGTCCAGCAAGCCTGAAATTTATACTTTGAAATAAATGACTGGGTTTTTAACATTCTGGGTACTCTGATTCATTCTGAGAGTTCTCAGCCTGTGTGTGTGTGTGTCTTTAAAAAAAAACCCACTTTGCTCAAAATCACCCTTGCTCACTGTTGAGTGTGCCTTATTTAACCTATTTTGGCAATTCCCTGGTACTCAACCTACATGCTAGCTTTGAAAGAGAAGTTATTGTGCAGAGCCGCTCTGCCTGGTTAGGTAAGGTGTTTCCAACTAATGCATGTCCAGTCCAATGCCCATTGATGACCGGAAAGGATCACAAACTGCTGCCTGTTTGGGCTCCCCCAATTATTAGCGTTGGCCAGCAGGAGAAGGAGAAAGACCAAGGGAAGTGCAGGTGTTTAATAGGTCTGGAAATGGCCCTCATCTTACTTCAAGCTCAATGGGCCAGAACTTAGTTATACCACGGGCTGTGATGGGGGTCTTCTGGCACTCAAGGAGGCTAATGGATTCTGATAGGGTTTGTGCTATCCTTTTGTGTATTCGTTTCATACATAATGTTTGTTCTGCAGTTCTCCACCCTGCAGGAAACCATTTGCTGTTCAAAAAACAAAAATCTGTGGAAAATGAAAGGGAATTGAATAGTTTTTATTAAAGAGTATAGATGGGAAAATATAGCTAACATAGTGCCTTTGGAGTCCTATTTGCAGCTTTCTTTTTCCTCCTCCCTCTTTCACTTCTTGTCTTGTGTCAAAACTGGACTCATGGTAACAAAATCAAAGTTAAAGACTTCTGGCATCCCCCTATGGAGAGTTCTGTTGAACCGACTCCAATTAAAAACTGGGAGGCCATCTTGTACCGTGGGGCCACTAATGGCATAGGCTGTAAACCGAGATGCAAGGAAGACGTCTGCCACCTGGAAAAAGAGAGGACAGCATTTTAAAAGACCATCTGAAATTTGGCTCTGTAGCCGTCATCCCCCTTCTCAAGGGCATACTTCGAGCCTCCCTTAAAAGACCAGTTTCCGGGAAGCTGCATCCTTTGCTTGACATAGGCTTCTGTCTGCGTTTGGCATTTGGCAGCACAAACAGGAGATCTGCAGTGTGATGACTAGTTCAGAACTGCAGCTCCACAACTCACTTCACAATCACTTTAGTGTCTCCATGACTTGGTTTTCCTCCTCAGAAAGTGAACTCACGAGACTGTTCTTCCTAGATGATCCAAGTAAGAAATACTGGGAGTAACAAAGGCCTAGTTACAGTCAGCAAATCCTCGGTGGAGGCTGGTAATCAGGGCAGCACCAAGGGTTCTAAAGGATGAGCCACACACTCGAAGGGCTCTCCCCAACACCTGACTCGGGGGCAGAAGCAGATTCAGCCTTAGAGGGGAAAGGCCCCCACGTATCTGAAGTAGCTGAAAGAATATTTTAAACTTATTCTGGCACCATCATCTGGCAGATGGAAGCTTGGCTTGGGTTCTTCCACACATGGCAGCAGAGGTGATGTTCTTCATGGTGCCTGAGACAAATGAAGCACTTCCCACACACTTTGCTCTTGAATGTGTACAAATACCATGGAAAAGAAGCAATGCATGTTGGGGCTTCCTGGTGCCACTTTTTCTCTTTATTACTTGGGTTGTACAGCATGGAGCATCCTTAGAACAGAAGTGTTCCCTTCACACAGCTAGCTGGATGGGGCAGTTAGGATTTAGATTTGGGGCAGTCAGGATTCAGACTCTGGAAAGCATCTCCCCACCAGAAGGATGGCTAAGAGAAGGTGAGTGTAAGTGATGTGGGAGTCCCTATAGTTTCTTTTACTAGCCAGAGACAAAAGGGGCGTCATCTTCAAGCTACAGGCATAGAATGAGCTCACCACCTACAGGGCTACCTCGAGGACAGGAAGATTGGGAGCAGCAAACACCTAAAGTGCCTTGGCCAGCTACTCTAAAACATGTTCCTTAAGTTCATGCCTAATACAAGCCACAGTACTCTGATAAAATGTCACTGCCACCGTGATTATATACATTTTAAAATTAATTTTTAAAAGATTTATGTATATGAATATTTTGTCTGCATGTGTGTATGTGTACCACATGCTTGCAGTGCCAATGGAAGCCAGAAGAGGGCACTGAATTCCCCAGAACTGGAATTACAGATGGTTCTTCACCAGCATGTCAATTCTGAGAATCAAACCTTGGTCCCCTGCAAGAGTAATCAATGCTCTAAACCACTGAGCCATCTCTCCATGGATGAATTTATAAATAACTAAGAACTCTTGTAGATGGTGTGGGGATGTTGAAGATTAATTCTTCTCTATAATGAGGTAAATTCTGTTATTTACATGAACAGTCTGCTTCCTGAATTTAATATATGGTTGGAGACACTGAGCTGTAGGCCACAAAAATCTCTTGCTTCTAGCCTAACTGCTCATTAGAAGTAAATTGGAAAGTAAGAGTGTGTTAGTTACCTTGGTGTCATAGCAACCTCCAGGGATTGGGGAGGCATCATTCAGGTCCTCACGACAGCAGATGGTATTGCAGGGATCACCCGCGCTGTAGGGATCCACCTTGTAATCTAGGAGACACCGTGATGGGGAAAGAACATGTGTTGACTATTGTGAGTTATACTTATTCAAAGTAAGATCTTGGATCTCTTTATGCCCGCATCACTGAAGAATATACCCCACAGGCCTCTCCAGCTGTGGCAGTTTGAAAGAGAGTGGCCCCCCAAGGGGAGTGGCACTATTAGGTGTGGCCCTGTTGAAATAGGTGTGGCCCTGTTGGAGGAAGTGTCATAGAGTTGGGGTGGGCTTTGAGGCCTCTTTTGCTCAAGCTTCACTCAGTGTGACTTCCTGCTGCCTTCTGGTCAAGATGTAGCCAGCACCATGTCTGCCTGCACACTTCCGGGCTCCTCACCGTGATGATAAAAAACTGAACCTCTGCACTGTAAGCCACCACCACAATTAAATGTTTTTCTTTATATGAGTTGCCGTGGTCATGGTGTGTCTTCATGGCAATAGAAACCCTATCTAAAACACCAGCCCAGCCTGCCTCAAGAACCATACACCAAAGAGAGTAAAGAGAAGAGAGAGATGGGGTGCACATGAATCACCGTTTTCCTTGGAGAGTCTTTATCAAAAGAAAGCATTTATGAGCATTTTAGTGGCTTTTGTCCTTGGGAAGGTCAATAGGTGCGAAGGAAAAGGCTCTACATGGATCATTTCTTCTATATTAAGTTTTTTGGAGAGGGGAATCGGGTAAAAAAAAAAAAAAAACCTGTAGAACCAAGTGTGGCTGCATACATCCACAATTCCAATATTCGGGAGGTGAAGACAGGATCAAGAATTGAGAGAGAGAGAGAGAGAGAGAGAGAGAGAGAGAGAGAGAGAGCGCATAAATGTGTGTGTGTCCATAAGCATGCCATGGTCTGCATGCTGTGGTCAGAAGACAAACTGAGGGAGTCAGTTTTCTCCTTCCGCTATGTGGGTCTAGGATATTTGCTCCTTGTCAGCAAGAGCCTTTATCTGCTGAGCCACCCTGCCAGCCTTTCAAAAAGTTCTCTGGGATTTTATAAGGGAGGCAAATGTTCTATTTGTTGAGCAATATGTGTACAGTATTAATAGTATCCTGAATACTGAATTCAGACGACTTCTCATTCCTTCTAGTCCAAGATGATAAACGTACATAGACTCTTACTCCATGGGGAAGAAGAGGAATTTTGAAGAATGACTCTTGAGAAATATGCTACGTACTGTTGTATCGCATGATATATTTCATGGAAGCCAAGTCAGTCACGGTCCCTTGGTCTCTCCGGAAGATTTTGGCGCGTGGAGTTAAATCATAAGAGTAGTCCAAACCCAGCCTCTGAACCAGCATCGGGTAGCCACTCAAGTTGTAGACTTTTTCATGGAAAGGAATATTGTAGGAAGGCCAGTACCCTGATTTGGAATGGAAGAAAAAGGTGGGGTTGAGCAGAGGGAGACAGGAAGAGAAGGGGAGCAAAACAAGAACATCACTGAATGACAGTACATTTGAGAATTGCCACATGTGTGATTGCAAAGCGAAATAGCATAAGAAATGAAGCTGTGAACGTGAACCTGCCAACCACAGTGGGGGTAGGGGGTGTCTTTCATGCTCCAGCAGGCTATTAGCTTCCAGTACTGAAAACATTTCTGCACCTCAAGTCACTAAGCAGTAGACACGTGACTCAATTCTAGGAACATCTTAGATTACACTGGCCTAGGCTATTTCCTACAGGACCATCAGTTAAAATAAGGGTGTCTCTAGCCACTATGGAAAGCAATACAGAGGTTTCCCAAAAAAACAGCCTCAATATGCTTTAGTCTAGCTCTGGGGAAGGCACACAGATCTTAAGTCCACACACCACAGTGACGCCTGTGAATCCATGTTTACTGCAGTGCTGTTTATGGTAGCTAACCAATAGAACTAGCCCACTGTCCAGCAACGAATGAGCAGGTGAAGACAATATGACATTCTGCCACAAAGAATAAAATGTCATCTGCAGCAAAGAGGATGCATCTGGAGATGGCCACAGGAAGGGAAATGAGCCGGACTCAGACAAATGTCACGCTGCCTGCTGTGTGCTTTATTTATATGGCTCAAAAGTAGAACTGAGACCGTGTGGGCAAAGGGAGAGAGAGGCCTAGCAGGAGAGGGGTGGAAGGAGGGAGCAAGGGAGGAGTATGGTGGGTGGATGAGGTCAAAGTTCAGGATGGACTTGAATGAAAATGTCCTTATGAAGACCATCACTGTGTACAGTGAACCCATTCCAATTTTAAATATTAGGGTTTCTCTACTTCAGGAAATAACAGAAAGTGGAACCTCTGTGTTCTCTCAGCCCTCATGTATCTTTGTCATTTTTTGCTACTGTGTGGGAATCTGATCCAGGAAGGAGCTATAGAGAGAGGCAAAGCAAATGTTTAACCTTGCTGGGCACAGAACCCACCAAGAAGAATGGAGACATGGACAACACAAGTTATCAGGTGAAAGCAGCCTCATTGCCAGGGCAAACTAGGTCACACAGACACAGAAGTAACACTTTCTGCACACAGAGCCTAGCTCCAGCAGGGTTAGGTGTGTGACCTTGGACAAATTGTTCACCTCTGTGCTAATGTCTCCATCTTTATAATGTCAGCGATTTTATACTTTCCCGGCGTCTGTGGTGTTTTCAATGAGCCCTGTTCCCCACAGGCTCGTATATTTGAACACTTGGTTTCCTGCTGGTGGTGCTGTCTGGGGAGGTTACAGGACTTTTAAGAGATGCAGCCTTGCTGGAGGAGGTACATCAGTGGGGGTGGGCTCTGAGGGTTACATTCTGGCCCCACTTCCTGTTTGCTTTGTCTACTTCCTGCCTGTGACTGAGGATATGATCTCTCCATTTCTTGCCCCTACAGCCTGCCGCCACACCTCCCCAGCCATTGTGGACTCCCCCTCTGGAGCCGTCAGCCAAAATAAACTTGAGTAAGTCACTTTTGAGCATGGTGTTTATCACAACACAAAGTAATCCAGCAGTGTACAAGGAATCCTTTCTTTTTAAGGATCACTGTAGACACTAAATGTGTTCAGGCAGCTGCAGTTCTTACTACAGTGCCAGTCTTGGTATTAAACCCGTCGATAATTAATAATATAAGAAAATCTCCCTCCAAAACCAGTGTCTCCTTGTCCTCACTCTCATAAAGCCTTGTAATTTACAAAAGCATTTACTGTGGGAGTTTATTTATTCCCAGATCACCCTGGTGATGTTTAAGCAGTACCATCCCCTCTTGTAAGCAAGATGCCAAGCTCAGATGCCCTCCCAAAAGCCCTGCTGCTGCCATCCCGGAGCTGCTTTCAAAGGCTAGGAGGCTTTGGTTTTTAATGTAAAGAAAAGGTGCTCAGTATCTTGTGTGAGAACATCTCCAATTTCTTCCTGGGCCTTTTACCCTTTCAGTGAAATGGTTAGCATGATGCTTATCTGGAACTTTCCCGTGAAGATCAAACAACACAAAGAAAAGGCCCAGAAGAGTGTACTAGAACTGTGGTTCTCAACTGTGGTCATATCAGACCCCTTTAAGGGCATATCAGATGTTGACGTTATAGTTCCTAACAGTAGTAAAATTACAGTTATGAAGAAGCAACAAAATCATTTTATGGTTGGGGTCACCACAATGTTAAAAAATGGTATTAGGAAGGTTGAGAACCACTGGTCTCAGGGGACCGAGAGACACTTTCCTCTGTAGTGCAGTCACCGGTAAGTTAGCCTAATAGAAGCTAACTGAGGAGGGTACCATTAGTGTGAGGTGTCAGAGATGGTGGTTTTGGCCACCAAGGGAACAGCCCAGACATGTGAAGCCCAAGGATTGAATCTTGGCTTCCCAAAAATTCTCAGGTGAATGACGCATCCTCTCCAATCCTCGCTCTCTTCTTGCCAGGGCTGTCGTGATGTAAACCAGTCATCCCTACACCACCCTCATTAATCCCTTTCCTTCCCTAACCAGTCCCTTCTGCTTTCATGGCTTACTTTTCCTGGGCATGGGGGAGACCTGTCATCCCACACAGCCCATCACACTGTCATTCCCCCATCATACTCACTGTCATCCCACACCCGCCCCCCATCATACTCACTGTCATCCCGCACAGCCCATCACACTGTCATCCCGCACCCGCCCCCCATCATACTCACTGTCATCCCGCACCCGCCCCCCATCATACTCACTGTCATCCCACACAGCCCATCACACTGTCATCCCCCCATCACACTGTCATCCCGCACAGCCCATCACACTGTCATCCCACACAGCCCATCACACTGTCATCCCCCCATCACACTGTCACCCCACCCACATCACACTGTCATCCCCCATCATACTCACTGTCATTCCCCCATCACACTCACTGTCATGGTTAGTTTTTACTTCCAGCTTCACACAACCTAGAATCACCTTGGCCTGCGTGCATGTCTGGAGGACAATTGTCTTAACTGATAGGGGAAGACAGCCGGAAAGTGGGTGGGTTTGGAGCCTGGACTATAGGAGAGCAGAGGAAGCTAGCTGAGCGGGGAACATGTGGACGGGTGCGTTTTCTTTCTGCTCTCGACTACAGACGTGAAGATTAGCTGCTTCAAGTTCCTGCCTTGCCTCTCCCACCATGATGAACTGTCACCTGGAATTGTGAGTAAAATAAACCTTTCCGCCCTTAAGTTGCTTTCTCTCTGTTGCTTTCTGCACAACAGCAGAAACGAAGCCAGGACACACAGCTAGGCACCAGTCCTGACGCCTGGGAAGACGGTACCTTTTCTCAGAACTTTGGTTTGTTCCGAATATTGCACATATGTGGGGATTTGTTCGACAACATACAGAGTGCCTTTGTCAAGGCTCTTCTTCAGGTTCACCTTCTTCAAGTCCAGGACCATGTACTGGTTGTTGTAGGTACCTGAAATGTTGGGAGACGCAAGGGCAACACGGTTAATAATCTCAGCTGATGAATTAGCACGGGTGCACACCTGAGGATGTTAGACAGAACCACTTACCCGAGTTGTACTTTGAAAAGATCTCTGCCCAGTCCTTACCACCCTCTGCCATCATGTTGGCCACACGGACTCTTTGCCAGGCCAGGAGAGTCTCGGGGACCACTAACTTCAGCAGAGTTCTGTTATATACATTGTTGGTGGTCTGTAGCAGGACCAGGCCACTGCTAAGGATGTAGAAGTCATCCAGAGACTCCAAGAACCCTAGGGGAATGAAAAGCACCCAGGTCATCACATGGACACATAGTTCATGCAGCCACGTCAATATCCTATACACTGTGGGTCTGGCAAAGTAGCTGCTATGGTTTTCTTTTCTCTGTAGTGGCTGCTCCCAGCTCAGGCACACACCTAAGTGTGCCTAGTGGGCTTCTGTGTACACAGGGGTTTGTAGATCACACACCCTCTTAGATTCTCTTTCAGAAAAGTTTAGCAGGTGTGTGTGTGTGTGTGTGTGTGTGTGTGTGTGTGTGTGTGTGTGTGTGTGTGTGTGTGTGTGCGCGCGCATGCACATATGGATGCTAGGGAATAGGTGGTATGTGTTTAATAGGTTAGGTATGTAAACAGCAGACAGGACTAGATCTCTATTTGGCAGGACTTTGAGGAATTTGTAATTAGGGAAGGAAACAGTAGGCTACATTGCTAGGCAGTTAAGAATATAGACATCTTCCTTTTTTTTTTTTTTTCTAATCTGTGCTTTACAAATTTTACTTGAGACTTTTAAACATGGATGCATCTACATGAATTAATATGAACATGGCCTTGAAAGGGGGCTTTGACACCCTGGTTCACTGAGTTTTTAAGTGCTGGAGACTATGTGGGATTGTGCTGAGGTCTGTGCTGGGGTGAATGTGGACAGGCAGCTGAGACACAGAGGGAGCATTGGGAGGGGCAGAGCACGTCAGTGTCCGTCAGCACCGTGTTCCGTGTTCCGTAGAACAGAACACCGCCAGCACTGGCAGAGGCCAGCAGGTGGGAGTGTTCCAGAGTTAAGCTAGGCTTTGGAACGTTTCTCCAGGTGAGGTTAAGGCTCCTAGGGAAGATGTCAGAGGGAGCTATAGGAAAGGGATTTCAGCAGACAGCAGCTCTGCTGCTGCCCTCACCTTGACTTCCCAGTGTCTAGACCTACAGGAAACAAACTTGAGGAAATCACCCGTCTAAACTCTTCTGCGATGACAGAACAGATGACACGGGCTCAGGTGTCTACCGTTGTACAACATCCTCATTCTTTTTGGCATATCTGAGTATTATCTACACTTTTTGTTATCTAAACTGTTACACACTTAATATTTTGTTTTTATTATTTGCTTGTATTCAGTTTACCACTATTGTGTGTATATGTAATGTGTGTGGACACTTGTGTGATGGGGCACACGAATGGGGAGCAAAGAACAACTTTGTGCAGTTGGTTCTTGTCCTGGTTTTGTTTGTTTGGTTTGCTCAACTTGGCACAAACTTGGACATATCTGGGAAGGAATCTTATCTGAGAAAATGCCTCCATCAGATGGCCTATAGGCAAGTCTGTAGGGCATATTCTTGACTAATGATTGAAATGAGAGGGCCCAGGTAACCATGGGTGTGCCATATCTGGGCTCATGGTTCTGGTGTGTGTAAGAAAGCAAACTAAACAATCCAGCAAGCAGCATCCTCAATGGCCTCCACCCCAGTTCCTGACTCCAGGTTCCTGCCTTGAGTTCCTGCCTTGACTCCCTTCAGTGATGTCCTGTAGATTGTGAGCTGTCCTCCCCAAGATGCTTTTGCTCATGTTGTTTATTGTAGCAGCAGAAACCCTAGTCAACAGTTCTCTTTCCACCTTTATATGGGTTCCAAGGATTGAGTCTAGACTGTTAGGATTTCAAAGCAAGTACTTTTATTCATGGAACCATCTTGCTGGCTCTTAGTATTATAGTTTTGGGATATTTTAAATTTAGTCAGTCAGTGGTGGTGCACTTGGAAGCCTAGCACTTGGAAGGCATAGGCAGGCTGATCTCTGAGTTCAAGGGCAGCCTGGTCTACAGAGTTCCAGGACAGCCAAGACTACACAGAGAACCCTGTCTTGAAAAGCAAATATGTACACACACATACATATACATGCATATAGACACGTACATATATTTAATGTGTATTAATAGTCTGCCTGCATGTATGAATGTATATGTTATAGCACATATGTGCAGTGCCTGAGGAGGCCAGAAGAAGGGTATCAGAGCCCCAGAACCTGAAGTTACAGATAGTTGTGAGCTGCCATGTGGGTGTTGGTAACCAAATCCAGGGCTTCTGCAAGAGCAGCAAGTGCTCTTAACCACTCAACCTTCTCTGGTTGAGAACCCTTGTCTTGGTTTGTTAACTAAAAGGTAAAAGTGTATATATCTACAGGGTACGTCTGATACATAAATAAATGTACACATTGTGAGTGGCTACCCCAAACCCTTAACGTATATGTTACTTAATATTTTTCTTTATACTAACTTCCCTTTCACACCAAAAATATAATAGCCTTTTTCATATACATTACTATCTAAAGAAACAGGAATTTCCATTTTTATTTTCTCTCTCCTAAAACATTCAAATAAATGTCTTCCTTCTTATGTACAAAAAGAACTTACATGGAACACCTAAAACCACGCCATCAGACTGATGTGTGTCATTGTGCAACCACTAGGATCCTGGAATGGGCTAGGTAAGGTGGGGGTACAAAACAGGGCCTACATCAAGACACAGTCTTGGAAGCATGGCCAGGTGTGGTGGTCATGTCTACAGCCTAGGGCTTCAGAGGTGGAGAAAAGTGGGTCAGGTGTTCAAGGTCATCCTCAGCTACACAACAAGTTCAAGGCCAACTTGAGCCACATGAAACTCTTGTCTACCTCAAAACCCAGAACAAACTGCCTCCGGAGCAGAGACTGCATTTCAGTTGCGTGCAGAGCTCCCACCAAACCTGGCAATGGCTCTTTCACCTCTGACAGCCTGCGAGTGCGTGATGTCATCAGGCTCTCACGACCTAAGTCTGATTTCCAGAGTTTTGCAGTAAGAGTGTTAAATGGTAAGAGAGTGTCTAACGGACTTAACGAGCTTTTCCACAGGGTGGATCAGCTTACACAAGAAGACTCAGAAGCAAGAGTGAGCTATGTGCTCCAGTCTATACAGGCTTGATGGCACCCTCCAATGCAATTCCTGGGAAGACACAAGCTGTAGGACAGAAGGCGGGTCATTTATTGGTTTCCTTTACAGAGCTCAAACTGTACAACCCTGCCTGGCCTCCATGAGCAACCTGTGAGAGGAAGACTCCTGTGGTTGAAGTAGTGCTCTGACACAGTAGCCTTGCTAATTCTTCCTTGTTGTAGCTGCCTCTCTAGACACTAGAGGGCAGCATTCTTGTGTGACTGACTGCTTGGGGGCTGTCCTGTTAAGGCTGTACCAGAAGATAGAAAAATGCAGGTTGCCCAGAGTTCTGGAGCAGCAAATACAAAACAACAAATTGGTTTGCAAAAACTACGTGGGGCAGGTGACTCTATATTGCACAGTTTAAATGTCGGGGGCCATGGCAAGAGTAACCTTGGACCTGTAAGAGACTTGGGTAGAAGCTGCCAGTATAACACATTATAATTAAAAGAATAGCTGCCTTCAATCCTTTCTTCCCGGATATATAACATCTGGGTTCATGAAGTAGCTTATAGAAGGAAAGATACATTTCATGGTCAGGTTACCTAGCAACCCTTCCCCCCTTTCTAACCCACTATCTAACACCTGCACCCTGCAACCTTGGTAACCTCCTGCACCCTCAAGGACTCACGCACTGGGAATATTCCTCAGCCTGGTTATCAGGCAAGTAGCCTCAAACGACCTCTCCCTGCCTGCCAAGCTCCCCTCTTGGCACCCCTATATAAGGTCCCTGTGAGAAATAAAAATTGGCAGCTTGATAAGAAACCTGTCTTGCTGTCGTTCTTTGTTCCCCCCACCCTTCTGTTCTAGGTTCTTTGGTGACTGCAGCACACTGGGGTGTGAGCTCAATGATACCCCAAAGGATGGGGCATTTAAAGACATCAAGTAAGACTCAAAGAGGGTCCCAATTCCCAACACACGGCCCTAAAGGGAAGCATTGTCTGTCATCTCTGTTCTGCCATCCCTCATTAGCAGCCCTGGAAGGCAAATTAGGAGCAGTTAGGGAAGTAGTCTATAAATGTCGACTCTCAGATAACATCTCATGGTAACTTTCTTGCTGAGATTAAGAAATAAAAGGGAGTTTCCTCAATAAATAAAGCATACTTTAAGAGATTCAGCAGGAACAGGCACTTGCCACCAAGTCCATTCCTGGTGCCCACATGGTGGAAGAAGAGAGCCCACTCCTGAAAGTTGTCTTCTGCTTCCACATGCATGTTATGGCATGTACACACACTCACACACATACACACTCACACTCTCACAACACACACTCACACTCACACAGACACTCACACACACTCACATAGACACACGTGCACACACACACACAACACTCTCACACTCAGACACACACACACTCACACTCACAACACACACTCACACTTACACAGACACACGTGCACACATACTCTCACACACACTCACACTCACACACATACACACTCACATTCTCACAACACACACTCACACACAGACACACACACACTCTCACACACACTCACACGCTCACACACACACACACACTCTCACAACACACACTCACACTCACACTCACACAAACACAGGCACACACACACTCTCACACAGACACAGGCACACACACTCTCACACACACTCACACACTCACACACATACACATTCACACAACACACACTCACACAGACACACACACATTCACACAGACACAGGCACACACACACTTTCACACACACACACACTCACACACATACACATTCACACAACACACACTCACACAGACACACACACACACTTACACAGACACAGGCACACACACACTCTCACACACACTCACACACTCACACACATACACATTCACACAACACACACTCACACAGGACACACACACACACACACACACTCTCACACATGCGTGTGTGCGCACACACACGCACTCACACTGGCGAGTGCATGCTTTGGCACTCATGCACATACAATAAATAAATAAATGTAAAAATGTTAACACAAGACTTATAAAGATGATGTTGTGATTCCCGTTTCAATCCCAGAACTCAGAAACCCCAGGCAGG